CAACCCTAGACCCTTACAAACCCTGAACCCCCAAAACCACTAATTTGGGGGTTCACTAAACCCCTAAACTGTAAGCCCCTAAAATCCCCTAGATCCTTAAGACTTTTAAACCCTCAACACCTAAACCCACATGGATCACTTACAGGAACCCCTGTGTCGGCTCTTCAGGCCTTGCCCACAGGCCGCCGACAGAAGTCGGAGTACCAGGTGCCAAGAGGGGGGGTTGCTCTTCAGGGTCCCTTGTAAGGGCTCCTTGAAGGGCCGGGATCTATAGGGTTCCGTTAAGGGTTCCTGCAAGGGATCTTTAGGGTCCCTTTCAGGCTCTATAAGGGTACAAAAAGGGTAGTTACTTCTCCAAATGAGGGTCCCTTGTAGGGTCCGTTTGAGCGTGCCGCCTTCCTTTAGGATCAGGGTTTAGGGGTTCAAGGTTTACTGTCCAAGGGCCTTGTTATGGGATGAAAATGGTGCAGGGCGTGCTCATTTTAATCGGTGGGTTTAGGGCTTAGGGGCTTATGGTCTTAAGATTCTTGGTTGGTTGTGACAGCGACTGGGCACGGTCAATCTGGAGTCTTAGGGAGGCCGGAGATGCCAGATTTTGTGCTGTCAGGCTCATGGAGGACCGTCAGCTTGCGAGGAACTGGTCCTTAAGTTTCAACCCTAAACCCTGCACTTTCCCTTTGTGCAGATTTTGGGCTGTTGGGCTCGGACATGGGCTTGCATTCCCTGAGGAGCTTCGACCGGCACGTGATTGGTTTTTATCGCCAAAATTCAGCTGGACAAAGGAGGGTTTGCAAAAGCGGTTGGGCTCCGCAAGTTCGAATTGTAGGGTTTCTTGTGAGTTTGGGTGCATGTGGCTGTGACTAATCCTACAATAATAGTTTCCAGATGCAGAAGCCTGAGCCGTTGACGGTACGGTTGTTTCGAGGTTCGCCAAAGTCTCACAGTGGACATTTTAACCGTGCTCACGACGTCTTGCAGTAGGACTTCCAAGCCATGCAGGCTTTTCAGTTTCAGAATCTTTGCGAGGTCGAGATTGAGTTTAAGATTGAGGGGGGTGTTGGGCTTTAGGGTCATGACATCCAATGTCGAATTTATTGTGACATTGTACCAGAACATGCGGGCTTGTACTGGCATGAAGCAAGATTCGTCAGAAGCATGCACCACCCACAGGAGTTTTTCCTGAGCCTTGCAAACCCTGAACCCTTTTGCAAACCCATTACGAAGCCCGGCGAACCCTCAAACCGCCGTCAAAACCATTGTTTAAGTGTCATCCCAAGGCCTGGGGCCCTGCATCTTGGGGTTTAGGGTTTCGGGTTCAGTAGGGTTTAGGGTTTAAGGCTTTCTCCGGCCGTGCGAATGCAGGCGAAGGTGGAATGGGATGTGATCGACGAGGCAAGCACTGCAAGCACGGTTTGGGGTCCAACGACTCGGCTAGCAATGCTGTGTTCTTTGGCATCTAGGGTTTTGCATTATTCAATGTAGTTGAGTTGTAACACTCAGATTTATGATTGTAGGAATCGCACATCCAGTGGGGTTGCTTGGGGTTTATAAGAGCGTGGTTTTATCCGACGAGTATCAAGCTTCAGTATGGAGCGAGGCTCGTTGTTCGGTTGGGTGAGGAAAGTCAGCCTGATGCGATGGCTTTACATATACAGCCCCAAACTCATAACCTTTGCAGATATGATCGGATGGTATTGGCTTACAGGCATCCATCCTAAACCACAAGACCTCCCGACATCCGAAACATGAGATGTTTCTTGTAAGGTTCCTGGTCAATTTAGTTGAATACTTCACAGTGATGGAACATGTCCTTCGTCCTTCATACAAACCATTCAGCCTGGTCTTCGCGCCGCTTTCCGAGTGCGAACTCGACGATAGTTTAGTGCTTTAATGTTTCGGCCTGAGGGAAGTTGAGGCGACATGTCGGCCAGAGGTTTGAGTTTCAGTATAGGTGTCGGTCTTGAGGCTAGGGTTTATGATGGAGTCGAGTCTTAATCGAGGTTCTTCAGCATGAGACGGGCATTGCAAACTGAAGCCTGACGCCTCACGCCTTAAACAATTGAGCAAGACACGTCTCTCAGGGCACGATAACCTTTTAAGCAGAGCCCGCGAGGTTTAGGACTATGAGCCCAAGGTCAAAGATCTTGGATTTGGGGTTTAAGTCAAGTCCCGGCGCTCACCTCAGATTTTTGAAGCACCCAGCGTTATTGTTTGGGGGTCCTGAACCCTAGACCGTCAATTCCGAAAAGCCTTCAACTCCAGAAGTCTTGAGTTAAGCTGACAGTCAAGATCCCAGTATGACTCTTGAGTCATTTGAGGGTATTAGCTGACCTCTATGATGGTTTGCGCTTCAGGCTTTCAACCCCGGGCCTATATTGGCGGGAGGGTTTACAGTGGTTGTACGTTTGGGTTTAAGGTCAACTGCGTCAGGCATGGCGTGTCATACACCCGGAGGTGGAGCAGGCAGCCCCGGGGTGGTCCTGCCGTTTCTTTTTGTTTTCCCAGTTGCTAAACCTTAAGCCCTAAGCATAAGCCCTTAAGCCTCATATCCGGAGCCCGATGGGTTTTGTCTTGCTTTAAACCCTAGCCCTAACTGCAAAAAAATCCTTAAGCTTGCAAACTAGGCGAGGTGCTTGATTTAAATAAAAATAATGCAATAACGATCTATCTAGAGCTATTCGGCCCTGGCCTGGACCAGTTGGATTCGGGGCTGAAGGTTGAGGGAAACCACACTCGCCCTCAGAGCCCTTCATGCCGTCGCCTGCTTGGCCCACATCTCGCATCCTTCAGTATCATATATATATATATATATACACATATATATATATACATACATACACAGACACAAGTTACTTCGTACTAGTAATAACAATAAGAGTATTATTAAAAATACTCATAAAAAGAAACAGACACGATCATAAGTCATCCTAATAATAACAGTGATAATTGTACATGATAAAAAAGAAGAAGACGCTTCACAGTTATTGTTTTCCATTCTCAACTATAGTAACCCTACCCCAAGCTATCTGCATCCAACTTTCTGAACATCGCAAGTGTGCGTGCCTCCACATGTGAGAGTGCCTGTGTCTTGGTCGTTCTGAGTTTTCTGAGCTTTCCGCATCCCTTGCAAACTAGCCCGCAAATCTCTGACACTTCTGAACGAACCTCAAGACTTTACACCGTGAGAGTCACATCATCAGAAGCCCTAAAGTTAAAGGGTGCCTAGAAGCGCAAGACGAGCCCTAAACCCTAATACCTGGACCCTAGACTGTAGTTAGTGCGCAATGGGGATACCTACTTTGTGGTTAGGACCATAATAACAGACTCTAGTATCCATACAAAGGCATTGCACTTTGCGTTCTGGGAACCCTAAACCCTAAACCCTAAACCACTGAGTTTACAGAGTCGGAAGGCTCGTGCCAAATATCTAACAAACCTAAAGCCTGAGCCCTCCCTAGAAGGTTATAACCGAGATATACCCTAATTACCCTAGCCCTTTATTAAGGTGCCCAGTGTTATGGTTAAGCTTTGTTGCAAAGAGCAGAAGGCACCCCGAAACAGGGGTTGGGTATCACCCTCTGGGCAAACCCTAACCCTTGAACCCAGACTCTAAATTACCCAAAGGCTCCATGTAGCTTTAGAGTAGATACCTAAGCCTTAAAGGGGTCCCTATATCGGTACTTTCAGGCCTAAGTATGTACTATATGCTTACATGGAGCCTTAGGGGTCTGGACTTGCGACTTTGGGAGGTTGCGCTCCGAACCGATTGGACGTACACCGGTGGCTACGACCGCCTGAACAGCATCATGAAGGTCCGCAGTTTGGCCTTGGGTCTATTGGGGGTTTAGGGGTTAGGGGTTTAGGGGTTTATAATAGGGTTTAGGGGTTCAGGGGTTCAGGGTCGAGGGGTTAGGGTTTAGGGTTTAGCATCATGAAGGTCCGCAGTTTAGGGTTCCATGGAGGTTCCGTAAAGATTCTTTTAGGGGTTCTACAAGGGTTCCGCGTGTTCAGGTTTTTGGGTTTAGCAAGGCTTTCAGGTTTATGGCTTCGAGATCAAGGGGCTGTGGGGGTTTCGGGTGTCGGTTTGCAGTGTTTTTGAGGCGGTTGAGGCTCAGGGATAAGGCCTTGCGTTCCGGGACGGTTAGCGATGTCACAAGGCACCAGAATCCAAGGACCCAGACATCGAGGGCTTTCCGGCTGCAAAGCTGCATGCAAAGCCAGACTACCTGTTTGGGCCTCTCGGCTTGTAGGCACAAGCCATATGGCAGTTTACATGTATACTTCTCCGGCAGATGTTTAAAAGCACATGCACTATAACACAACAGCCTTTCTGGCCAAATCACAATCCCATGCACGTTTAAAGCCCAAGCCCTATATATATATATATATATATATATATATATATACATATATATATATATATATATATATATATATATAGGGCTTGGGCTTTAAACGTGCATGGGATTGTGATTTGGCCAGAAAGGCTGTTGTGTTATAGTGCATGTGCTTTTCAACATCTGCCGGAGAAGTATACATGTAAACTGCCATATGGCTTGTGCCTACAAGCCGAGAGGCCCAAACAGGTAGTCTGGCTTTGCATGCAGCTTTGCAGCCGGAAAGCCCTCGATGTCTGGGTCCTTGGATTCTGGTGCCTTGTGACATCGCTAACCGTCCCGGAACGCAAGGCCTTATCCCTGAGCCTCAACCGCCTCAAAAACACTGCAAACCGACACCCGAAACCCCCACAGCCCCTTGATCTCGAAGCCATAAACCTGAAAGCCTTGCTAAACCCAAAAACCTGAACACGCGGAACCCTTGTAGAACCCCTAAAAGAATCTTTACGGAACCTCCATGGAACCCTAAACTGCGGACCTTCATGATGCTAAACCCTAAACCCTAACCCCTCGACCCTGAACCCCTGAACCCCTAAACCCTATTATAAACCCCTAAACCCCTAACCCCTAAACCCCCAATAGACCCAAGGCCAAACTGCGGACCTTCATGATGCTGTTCAGGCGGTCGTAGCCACCGGTGTACGTCCAATCGGTTCGGAGCGCAACCTCCCAAAGTCGCAAGTCCAGACCCCTAAGGCTCCATGTAAGCATATAGTACATACTTAGGCCTGAAAGTACCGATATAGGGACCCCTTTAAGGCTTAGGTATCTACTCTAAAGCTACATGGAGCCTTTGGGTAATTTAGAGTCTGGGTTCAAGGGTTAGGGTTTGCCCAGAGGGTGATACCCAACCCCTGTTTCGGGGTGCCTTCTGCTCTTTGCAACAAAGCTTAACCATAACACTGGGCACCTTAATAAAGGGCTAGGGTAATTAGGGTATATCTCGGTTATAACCTTCTAGGGAGGGCTCAGGCTTTAGGTTTGTTAGATATTTGGCACGAGCCTTCCGACTCTGTAAACTCAGTGGTTTAGGGTTTAGGGTTTAGGGTTCCCAGAACGCAAAGTGCAATGCCTTTGTATGGATACTAGAGTCTGTTATTATGGTCCTAACCACAAAGTAGGTATCCCCATTGCGCACTAACTACAGTCTAGGGTCCAGGTATTAGGGTTTAGGGCTCGTCTTGCGCTTCTAGGCACCCTTTAACTTTAGGGCTTCTGATGATGTGACTCTCACGGTGTAAAGTCTTGAGGTTCGTTCAGAAGTGTCAGAGATTTGCGGGCTAGTTTGCAAGGGATGCGGAAAGCTCAGAAAACTCAGAACGACCAAGACACAGGCACTCTCACATGTGGAGGCACGCACACTTGCGATGTTCAGAAAGTTGGATGCAGATAGCTTGGGGTAGGGTTACTATAGTTGAGAATGGAAAACAATAACTGTGAAGCGTCTTCTTCTTTTTTATCATGTACAATTATCACTGTTATTATTAGGATGACTTATGATCGTGTCTGTTTCTTTTTATGAGTATTTTTAATAATACTCTTATTGTTATTACTAGTACGAAGTAACTTGTGTCTGTGTATGTATGTATATATATATATGTGTATATATATATATATATATGATACTGAAGGATGCGAGATGTGGGCCAAGCAGGCGACGGCATGAAGGGCTCTGAGGGCGAGTGTGGTTTCCCTCAACCTTCAGCCCCGAATCCAACTGGTCCAGGCCAGGGCCGAATAGCTCTAGATAGATCGTTATTGCATTATTTTTATTTAAATCAAGCACCTCGCCTAGTTTGCAAGCTTAAGGATTTTTTTGCAGTTAGGGCTAGGGTTTAAAGCAAGACAAAACCCATCGGGCTCCGGATATGAGGCTTAAGGGCTTATGCTTAGGGCTTAAGGTTTAGCAACTGGGAAAACAAAAAGAAACGGCAGGACCACCCCGGGGCTGCCTGCTCCACCTCCGGGTGTATGACACGCCATGCCTGACGCAGTTGACCTTAAACCCAAACGTACAACCACTGTAAACCCTCCCGCCAATATAGGCCCGGGGTTGAAAGCCTGAAGCGCAAACCATCATAGAGGTCAGCTAATACCCTCAAATGACTCAAGAGTCATACTGGGATCTTGACTGTCAGCTTAACTCAAGACTTCTGGAGTTGAAGGCTTTTCGGAATTGACGGTCTAGGGTTCAGGACCCCCAAACAATAACGCTGGGTGCTTCAAAAATCTGAGGTGAGCGCCGGGACTTGACTTAAACCCCAAATCCAAGATCTTTGACCTTGGGCTCATAGTCCTAAACCTCGCGGGCTCTGCTTAAAAGGTTATCGTGCCCTGAGAGACGTGTCTTGCTCAATTGTTTAAGGCGTGAGGCGTCAGGCTTCAGTTTGCAATGCCCGTCTCATGCTGAAGAACCTCGATTAAGACTCGACTCCATCATAAACCCTAGCCTCAAGACCGACACCTATACTGAAACTCAAACCTCTGGCCGACATGTCGCCTCAACTTCCCTCAGGCCGAAACATTAAAGCACTAAACTATCGTCGAGTTCGCACTCGGAAAGCGGCGCGAAGACCAGGCTGAATGGTTTGTATGAAGGACGAAGGACATGTTCCATCACTGTGAAGTATTCAACTAAATTGACCAGGAACCTTACAAGAAACATCTCATGTTTCGGATGTCGGGAGGTCTTGTGGTTTAGGATGGATGCCTGTAAGCCAATACCATCCGATCATATCTGCAAAGGTTATGAGTTTGGGGCTGTATATGTAAAGCCATCGCATCAGGCTGACTTTCCTCACCCAACCGAACAACGAGCCTCGCTCCATACTGAAGCTTGATACTCGTCGGATAAAACCACGCTCTTATAAACCCCAAGCAACCCCACTGGATGTGCGATTCCTACAATCATAAATCTGAGTGTTACAACTCAACTACATTGAATAATGCAAAACCCTAGATGCCAAAGAACACAGCATTGCTAGCCGAGTCGTTGGACCCCAAACCGTGCTTGCAGTGCTTGCCTCGTCGATCACATCCCATTCCACCTTCGCCTGCATTCGCACGGCCGGAGAAAGCCTTAAACCCTAAACCCTACTGAACCCGAAACCCTAAACCCCAAGATGCAGGGCCCCAGGCCTTGGGATGACACTTAAACAATGGTTTTGACGGCGGTTTGAGGGTTCGCCGGGCTTCGTAATGGGTTTGCAAAAGGGTTCAGGGTTTGCAAGGCTCAGGAAAAACTCCTGTGGGTGGTGCATGCTTCTGACGAATCTTGCTTCATGCCAGTACAAGCCCGCATGTTCTGGTACAATGTCACAATAAATTCGACATTGGATGTCATGACCCTAAAGCCCAACACCCCCCTCAATCTTAAACTCAATCTCGACCTCGCAAAGATTCTGAAACTGAAAAGCCTGCATGGCTTGGAAGTCCTACTGCAAGACGTCGTGAGCACGGTTAAAATGTCCACTGTGAGACTTTGGCGAACCTCGAAACAACCGTACCGTCAACGGCTCAGGCTTCTGCATCTGGAAACTATTATTGTAGGATTAGTCACAGCCACATGCACCCAAACTCACAAGAAACCCTACAATTCGAACTTGCGGAGCCCAACCGCTTTTGCAAACCCTCCTTTGTCCAGCTGAATTTTGGCGATAAAAACCAATCACGTGCCGGTCGAAGCTCCTCAGGGAATGCAAGCCCATGTCCGAGCCCAACAGCCCAAAATCTGCACAAAGGGAAAGTGCAGGGTTTAGGGTTGAAACTTAAGGACCAGTTCCTCGCAAGCTGACGGTCCTCCATGAGCCTGACAGCACAAAATCTGGCATCTCCGGCCTCCCTAAGACTCCAGATTGACCGTGCCCAGTCGCTGTCACAACCAACCAAGAATCTTAAGACCATAAGCCCCTAAGCCCTAAACCCACCGATTAAAATGAGCACGCCCTGCACCATTTTCATCCCATAACAAGGCCCTTGGACAGTAAACCTTGAACCCCTAAACCCTGATCCTAAAGGAAGGCGGCACGCTCAAACGGACCCTACAAGGGACCCTCATTTGGAGAAGTAACTACCCTTTTTGTACCCTTATAGAGCCTGAAAGGGACCCTAAAGATCCCTTGCAGGAACCCTTAACGGAACCCTATAGATCCCGGCCCTTCAAGGAGCCCTTACAAGGGACCCTGAAGAGCAACCCCCCCTCTTGGCACCTGGTACTCCGACTTCTGTCGGCGGCCTGTGGGCAAGGCCTGAAGAGCCGACACAGGGGTTCCTGTAAGTGATCCATGTGGGTTTAGGTGTTGAGGGTTTAAAAGTCTTAAGGATCTAGGGGATTTTAGGGGCTTACAGTTTAGGGGTTTAGTGAACCCCCAAATTAGTGGTTTTGGGGGTTCAGGGTTTGTAAGGGTCTAGGGTTGAGGGGAGGTTGACAGGTTTGCGGGTTCGGGCCAAGGCTTTGGGGTCTCTTTCAGGGTTTAGTAGAAGCCAGAAAGTTGGAACATGACTTTAGGAGGATTAGTGCTAGGATCCCTTATACTTTACCTTAAGGGCATGAGGGTAATGATGTTCCAACTTTCTGGCTTCTACTGTAAGATATCGAGCTCCGCAGCCGGGAACCCTGCGCTCCTGACTCCTATCCATTAGAGGGAACTCCAGAAAGTTGGAATATGGTTTCAGGGTAGGATACCTTATAATTTACCATAGAAGGGTTAGGAAAATCATATTCCAACTTTCTGGCTTTTACCTGAGAAGGGGCCCCCACCCTGTAATAGTTAGTGACTAGAAGGATTAGATTAGGGCCGGATTTCATATTCCTATGGTACCACTCTTACAGGGCGGGGGCCCCTTCTAATCCATCCACACATCCCCAAACCTAGAAGCCATGCAGCACCAACCCACAAAACCCCAAATCAACGGTTACAACAAAACAAGCCTCTCTAGTGATTCAACTCCATGGTTCTTCGCAGAAAATGAGGGAATGGGCTAGAGGGACTACTATAGGGACTGTACTAGGGATCCATTCCCCCTTTCCCTACCAAGACGAAGCCCATCGTGCTGCTTGCCTTGTCCAGTTCCACTGGCTCTCCACGTCCCACCTGATGGCTTTGGAGTCTGGCGGGGCTCAAGGTTCAGGATGTGATTAAGATAAGAGGATGCAGGGATGTGATAGGGCCTCAGGGGCCTTAATCATTAAAGAAAGATTTCGGGGTATTATCTATACTCTATTGATAGTAAGGAGCCTCAAAATGGTATTAGCAAAATTATGTAGACCCAATGTTGCTAGGATTGAACAGTCAGGATCCGAGGTTCCGGGTCGATGAACCGGTCTTTGTCCTGTTTCCCAACACCAAAATACAAGGACCAAGACACGTAGAGGCTTCAAACCCAGCGCCCTGAATCCTACATTCAGAACCCGCGAGCCGTCGACCTGCACCGTGCCCCCTTCAGCGAAACAAAACCAACTCTTGCAGTATGCACATCAAAAAATGAAACGCGAGTTTGCATCAGAATTAGAGATTCCGCTCAAAACGACAAGCCGTTACCTACCCTAAGCCCTAAACCCTATGATATACCCTAATTGCTAAGGCTTTAACACAAAACGTTAGCACTACCCTCGTCATATTATACACCCCAGGCCCTGAGTCCTTAACTCTGTAACCCTGCCCTATAATATTCCGCATATTATAGCTGTGCCCCAAAAGCCCTGAAAAGAACTGAAGCCTTAACCCGATTATATAAACCCCACCGAACCCGTAAGGCCGAAACCCAAAACCCAAACTCGCACAAGCCCTAAAGCCTCAACCCTACCCTGATGATACCATGCCCTACATACCCTGAGCTCTAAACCCTGAACCCTAAAGCCTTAACATGCCTGCCCTCTATCACATACCCTATTGGAACCCTAAACCCTAAAGCCTTAATATGCCTTAACCGTACCCTATTATACTAAACCTCCTAATACACCCCAAAGCTCTATATCCCAAACCCCATAAAGCCTTAACCCTACCCTATTATATACCCTCTATTACATACCCTGTTGGAGCCCTGAAGCCTAAACCCTAAAGCCTTAACCCTACCCTGTCTCGTACCTCCTCGACCTTGCCACCAAGCTGAGTCAGCTCCCGCCTGCACTAGGTCAGGGAAATGTTTTTTGGGTCGTTGGGTTGGGAATTCCCAGAGAGCCCAATACCCCTTAATTAAGGAATATACCTTAAGTTATAAGGGGATTCATATTATGATTTAAGCTATATTCCTTAATTAAGGGGTTTGGGGCTCTCTGGGTTAAGGAGCGGATCTATAAGAGTTCCTTTGAAGGATTCCTCCAGGCGGTCGAGGGTTTAGCGCTTCTGGTTAGGGTTCTAGGTACTGCAATTTAAGCTTCTGTTTGCGGTATTTGGGTCGTGAATTGAGGGTTTAGGGCTTAGAGGTTGAGGTGTGGGGCTTCAGATGGGGCTAGGGTTTAGAGGCATGTGAGGCAAATGTTCGTGGGTCTTTGGGTTGGGGTTGAGGGTTTATAAAGTTAGGGCTTAGGGGTTAAGGTTTCAGATTCCGGGGTCGAAAAAAGTTTCGGGATAGGGCCAAGGGGCCTGGGCGGAGAGGGATGTGAGAAGTATATTGCTGCAAGTATGTTGTTTTGAGTGGATTCTCAAGGGCTCCGGGGTCAAGAGTTTTGCGGGTGGTTTAGGGTTTACCGAGTTCTTGTGAAGCAAAGTAAGTTACGCTACCATAATATATTGGGATCCATAGTAACGATATGGTTTCTCTAGTATGGTAACTTGAAGTTAAGGTATTTCCCTAGCAAGAGCTGAACAAGCACATTCCCGGTATGGCTTCGTGCGGTAGGACATCTTGACTGCAGCAGAATCAGCTGCGACCATCGCCCAATATTGAAGTCCGTAGACTACTACTATCGATCCATCAGATCAGAGTCTAGAATCAACCCGACTCTGAAGGGCGCAATAGTCCTGAACTCAACCGCACGTTACACTCCTCAACATAAGCCTTCAACTTAACCTGAACCTGGACCCATAAGTATGGAGAATAATAGCCTTTGATAGATGTTGGGCCAGTAATTCGCTACTGTGAGTGTATTTTTGAAAGTCTTACCCTAAGGGTCCAAGTACCCAATAATCATATACTCTCCCAAATAGTAACCTGCATAACTACTATCCTAAACCAAATACCTTATTACTGGGTCCTTTTAACCCTTGGCGTATGAACCCAAAACCCAAAACCCTAAACCCTTATTATTGGGTCCTTTGGACCCTTAGGGTGAACCTTCAACTGGCCATCGGCGGCCTCCCAACGACGTGTGCGGCATCTGAGGCGGGCGAGCCATTTTCATCCCAGTCCTAGCCGTTGAGAGGTGGGCGCATTGCACTTTTTAGTGGTTCCTTATTATAATTATAATCAGTAGTATTATATGCCACTCAAACCCTATTCTAATTATGTAGATTTTAGGTCTTGCAGTGGGGGTGCCGGCGTGTTGAGCCAAGGATACTGCGAATCCCACCAATCAGACATGTGCGTCTGACAAATGTACCTTCTCGTAAACCTCAACCCTAACACCCGCAGCCCTGATTGAATTCCCACCAGACTGAACCAGCCAACGAAGCCGTATCGAAATCATAGAGAAGCCCTGCAGCCCAAAGACCTTAACTCTCCCAAGCCCTAAAGCGTCCTTGCGCACCACCGTTCGGTGCCACTTGTACACCCGCTCCATCAGCTCGTCGGTGTTGTACCTGGCATCAGAGAGAGAGAGGGACCCTCAGCAGGGTTGGGGACTACATTTCCTTAAATAATTAGGCCTTATTGGGTCCGTTATTATAGGTATTAAGGCCCCCAACCCCCCTAAACCCTAAATCCTAAGTTGCAGGTACAAGGCCCCCTACCCCCTAAGGCTCCTTATGACGGCATCCTGAAGAGCTTGCGGCTCAGGCCTTGAGCACCGGGCTCATGGTTCGAATTTCGGCTTTGGATTCGGCGTTTACCTGGACCCCCAACAAAAGTATGTAGAATAATCGCCATTTTATCGGTGTTGGGCCATTGTTTTACCTACTTTGCTGGGTTTGGGTGGGCATTTTAGCGCTCAGGATGTGGCTACCAGTTTTCAGACGTGCAATCTCTAGGAGACTGTTTACCGTAACCGCGCAACACCTACGAAGCCTAGACCAGAAGCCCTATGAGCTGATCCCACAAACTCTGAATACCGGACTCCACTCGACCCGAATTCAAGCTCAAACCCTAAGGCTCTAAGGATTGATATTTTAAGGCTTTTTGGGCCTAAAGACCATGTTATATGAGGCTCTTGGGCCATTTTGAGCTTTAGGGAAAGCTGGCTCAGGCCACCTTGTCGCCGCGGAGATGTTGAAGACGCGCGTATGCCCACAACGCCTCCGTGGCCGCCAGAAGCATAATCACGAGATGGGGGTTTCCGAAAACAGGGGTACCTTATCTTGGGGTCCTTATAATAAGGATCCTACTATTTAGGGTACTGCATTAGGGTCCCCTATTTTCCGAAGCTCCCATATGGTCTCAGATATCGGACTCAACAGGTTAAGTTCAGCTTGGGGTTTAGGATATCGGCTCAATCCCAAAGTGTCCTAGGTACTGTTATGGGGACAACTTCCCCAAATCATAACAGAAAGTCCTAATATAGAAACCCTACATTCTACCATATAGGTACTTTGGATCCTTTGGGATCATGTAGCGGTGCGACTCAAGGTTGTGAAGCAACCCCCACGTCGCTGAGAACTTGGCATGGGCAATGAGTTGTGAGCAGTGTCAGGCCATCTGCAGTTCCACTTCGACGGAAAAGCATGCGCTGTCTTCACCCGTACATCATACCTCGAGTACATGACGACTGTCTACGGTGTAGAGGGTTTAGTCTAAGCTCTCGAAGCCCTGTAGTGCAGGTATGTCGTCCTTTGTTGTGAAATGATGTAAACTCGTCTATAAACATCGAGCAATGCGAAATCCACCTTTGCCGCTTTGCAACCCTGCTACGCTTAAAGCAAAGCCGTGCTCAGCATGCTGCTCCATAGCTCTGACTCATGACCATACGGTTTAGCGTTTAGGGTTCATACACCAAGGGTCCAAAGGACCCAATACTTACGTAGGTCCTTAGGTTTGAGATAGTAGTTATGTAGGGTACCATTTGGGAGAGTATATGACTATCAGGTACTCGGACCCTTGGGATACACCAAGACCCACATCGCGAAGCCCCACGGCTCCTCAAATCTGAAAGCTTCAGGCCTCCAGCAGACTCTATAAACCACACGAACCCAAGCCCTTGCCTGCGGAGCTCCTTCATCAGTGCCGGCAGCCTCTCCTTCGACGTTGTAGAGTTCTTAGGATTTATAGAACTTACAGTCGAAGGTTAGGGTTTATGGTGATCCGTTTTTGTGTGAAGGTCTAGCGGCCTTGTCTCCAAGCTGCTCCAGAAAGGAGTACTCCCCCGCATATTCTAAATGCACAGGATTCAAGTTTCAGGGTTTGAGGGTTCAGGGTTTTGAGGCTTGGATCGAACCTGCGAGTTCAAGGGCTCAGAGCTTTTGAAGTCTTGCCAGTGGTCTAGGGATACCGGTATCGTCCATTATAGGTCTTTCTTGGTGCAGCCATGAATTTTTGGGACCGTGTCCGAGGTGTTGGCTGGCGTGCAGGGATTGGATCAATCACAGGCATCCATGAGAAAGGACGAAAGCCGAAATTTCTGGTAAGGGTTGCACACAAAGATTGCTTAGCAGGGCTCAAGGTGTAGCAGTTTAGCATCTCAAGTCATGGAGGTTACTCCTGAACTTCGGGGAGGTCGCACTTGTTGACCACGATGACCTGCGGCTTCATGGCGACCTGCAGCGGCTTCAACGAGCTGATAGGGCTTTGTATAAAGAATTCAGGGGTTTGGGAAATTTCGAGTTTGAGATCTACCTAGACCCTGCCTGACCTACCCTGTCTGATTTTTTCACGACGCCCAACAACTCTACGCAAGCAAGCCCTTTGGTGCCAAACTTCCAACCACACCTTGTGAAGCAAAGGAGGTGCCAGGGAGTCCCTCAATTTTGACGCTGGCGATTGATATGGAAGATCCCCGAACCTGGCACAACCGCCGGGTCTCAGCTGGAGCTACCGTGGTGTTCTTGCAATAGGAGGTTGAATGACAGACGCTGCATATCGGCGGACCTCCGTGCTGTAGTCCCGCAGCTCCTTCTGGATGGTCTCGAAATCCCCGATCGGGTCCTACAAGCAAGAATGCTCGGACGCTTCGACCTTCCCGAGTAAAGTGCTCTATTTTTGGATGTCGCTTTAGGATGCGATCATGACGACAACATAGGAAGCCGGATGACCAAACTGAGGAGGTGAGAAGGCAATACAACACCAAGCTAAGGCTAAGAAAGGCGCCTTAATAAATAGAGTAGGGTTTTGGTGCCATTGTAAGTATTTACTTAGGCCCATACATTACTGATGCGCCTGCTGCAGGCAACTCCGTTCGACCTGACTTCGGACCTGGCTTCATGAAATTTGACCTTCAAATAATCCTGCACCCATGCACTCTTTGCCAAAAAAAACTTCGGGCTCGGTTTCCAAATCGATCCATGGACCGATAAAGCCTGAACTACCAATCGACACAACTTACATCCTAAACCCAAGTAAAGGGAACTCCAGAAAGTTGGAATATGGTTTCAGGGTAGGATACCTTATAATTTACCATAAAGGGGTTAGGATAATCATATTCCAACTTTCTGGCTTTTACTTTACCTGTGTATTGCGTCCTTCGGACCCCTTGGGCAATGCCCGACATACCTTCGGGCTTATGCTACTATGCCGCTCCTTGACCTGCAACCTAAACCCTAGACGCCCCGTATTCCCAGACCTTCCAAAATCCCTTAATTAAGGAATATACCTTAATTCATATTAGGGATCTTATTATAGTTTAAGGTATATTCCTTAATTACAGGATTTTGGAAGGTCTGGGTTTATCAGCCCTAGACCCTGCACACTAAACCCTACAAGCCCTACATTTATCAACGCTAAACCCTGAACCCTTTAAACCCTAAACTATATTCCCTCACTCCTACAAACAACTAACTTAATCCTTTAAAACCTGAATCCTAAACTACATTCCCTCACCCCTATAAACGAATACATAAATCCTTTCAAACCCTGAACCCTAAACCCTACAAGCCCTAAACTATATTCCCTCACCCCTTTAAACAACTAATATATCTTTCTTAAACCCTGAACCCTAGACTACATTCCCTCACCCCTACAAACGAATACTTAAATCACTTAAATCTATTAAACCCTAGACTATATTCCCTGTCCCTCACCCGTACAAACAACTAACTAAGTCCTTTTTAAATTTTGAACCCTGAACCCAAACCCTATAAACATCTAAACTATAATCAACATCCCTATAAACAACTAAACCTTTTCTTAACCCTAAACCCTATAGACCCGATTCGTAAACTCTAAACCGTATAACTCCTTGACTCTAATCCCTCTAAGTAAACCTTTAAACCTTTTAAACCCCTGAACCAGCCGATCCTCCGAATCTCCGGCAATCACGTGGATGAGTGTCTGACATCGCCTCGGGAGCTGGGGCTCAGGGATCATGTAAGGGTTCCTTTAGGGCTTTAGGGTGTTTTAGGGTTTAGGGGTTTAGGGTGTTTTAGGGTTTAGGGGTTTGAGGTTTAGGGTGTTTTTGGGTTTGCAGAGTCCAATACCTGGAATCATGAAGCCTTCTAGACCCAGAGGCCCCAACGTAGTTCCTTTTGGGGTCCATATATAGAATCCTATAAAATAATCCCAAAAAAGAACTACTTTGGGGCCTATGGGTAGACCCCTACTCTTAAATCCCTGGAAACACTTACATGACATGCCTGTTGGATTTCTGAAAGACAGCTGCAATCGAGCGTCGCGCACCAAGGGTCGCTCTTGAGTCCCGTGTACAACAATAGGGGCTTCAACAGGTTAATCAGCCCTAAGCCATCAACTTCTAATACCTAAACCCTTTTTTAAAATCCTGTGTAATTCCTCACCCCTGAAGCACGGACCGCAGGAATTGCTTGGAGCCCAGAAAATATAGAATCCTCATAATGGAACCTTGAAGGGAATCCTTATTGTAGGATTTTTAAATTCAAAGAACCTTCTACAGGAACCTTGAATATTGAAGGAACCCTCAAACACCCTAAGCCCCTAACCCCTAGAGATCTTGTGAGGTCCATCGGCTTATAGAGGTTTGGGGTTTCGAGTTTAGGGTTTCGGGTTTAGGGTTTAGGGCTTAGGGTTGCTTACTTCCCAAACACGCGCGGTCTGATCGAAAGGTTCATAGCTACAACAGGTCAGCGCCGGGCAGTTCTGAACTATCGTCCCGTTCATATAGCGGACCCTCTCTGGGTAAGAGTCTACCCTAAACCCTAAACCCTGTTTTCTGGGGGGACCTAAGACGGTACCCTAATTTGGAGAAGTACACTTAGCGGGTTGAGCGTTAAAAACTGGGAATCATGAATAGAGGGCTAAATCAATAGCTGTGCTATTTTGTTTGGGGGGGGTCGTATGATCATTATAGTAAAATGGGCCCCAAACCACTATCCTAATTATTAATTAAGGAGAACCCCAAACTACACTCTAACTAAGCCCACCTGGGGGTTTCCGTATTCTAATTATAGTATAGTGAGCCCCACAACCAACCCTAAACCCTAAACCCCTCAACCCTAAACCCTAAACTAAACCCTAAACTTAGTATCTTTCATTCCATGACATGTGCCCTGAACCCTGGAAGCCATGCCGGGAGCTGGACTCGACATGGCGGAGGAACATGAAGCCTCAGATTGGGAGGGTTTAGGGCTTAGGGGTTTAGGGCTTAGGGGTTTAGGGGTTTAGGGTTTAGGGGTTTAGGGTTTAGGCGCTTAGGGGTTTATAGGGTTTAGGGGTTTAGGGGTTTGAGGGTGTAGGGGTTTAGCAAACATGTGGGGATTGGGGTTAGATGGGGTTAGGGTTTCGTTTAGGGTTTGGGCTGGCGGTGGCCCTAGTTCAGTTGGCTGCTCACCTTACGTAAAGATCGGGGACTTTCAAACCAAACCCCCGTCAAAGTAGAAACCCGCGAAACTTCACATCTTACACCTGAATCCTAAACCCCAAACCCTAAACTCCTATAAACAACTCTAAACCCCTAAAGCCCTCACCCCCTAGACTGAAAACTCTAAGCCCCTGAACCCTAAACCCCAAACCCGAAACAATGAACCTCCTCAAGCCCAAACCCTACACCCCGAAACCCCAAAACCCATGAAGCCGAGGCACCCATCCCTCGGCCCTCACTGGCTCCTTCAATAAGACCCGGCCTGGCAAAGCTCATGGGGAGGGGGTGTCTTTTAGCGCCCCTCTCGGCCTCCTTGAAGGGATCTATAAGAGCTTCTTTAGGGTTTCTACAAGGGTACTATATGTTAGGGAGATCTATAAGCACGCATGCTTATAGCCTTGCCTAACGTATCATGACTTACCGAAGGCTCTTGTTTGTCCACTGCAGCCGGGCTAGCTTTCCGAATTCCGCTTGCACCACGTCAGTGCCCTCGGCTTTCATCATGGACAGCAAAAACACTGAATCCGAATTCCCGAACCGCTGCTAAAGGTTAAACTTAGCTTCTAAATCCGAAACACAGCATTGTGAAGACAATGAGGTCGTCAACTCACGTGCGTCTGGGAGGGAGGTTTGTGAAGATTAAGGCTTCAGGTGTGGGGGTTCAGGGCTTAGGGGTTTAGGGTTTGGCCCGGACTACAAGATGTGTGATTTCCAAAGCGAACAGACTTCATTGCAGAACATGCCGCTGCCACACGTCACAGAGAGTGATTCCGCCGTGCACGTCGTAGTCATAGTAGCCTGCTCGCAGGAGTACCCCAAGACACATGCCTTACTTAAAGGCTCATGGGACTTAGTAAGTCATAAGTAGGTCATAATTAGGATAACCCCATTTAGGGGACTTAAAATTCCAATTATAACCTACTTACTACGCCCCACGATCCTCTAAGTACCTTTGGTTAGTAGGGAATGGAGGAACGGGTTACAATTAGAGCTACTCTTGGTGGAGGCGGAGGCAGTAAACAGTGATTTAGTCAGGCCCCAGTCATCTGAAACACTAGGGAGATAAAAACTAGAATTCGATGCATCGTTGTAGATTTTCTCTGTTTGAGCTGAACTCTGAACTCTTCGCGCGATAACCCAGACGATAACCTGCAAGATCAACAAGCAACAAGCCTTCAACTCAACCTTGTTTCGAGCAGGTCAAGTAGTGAAGGGTCACTAGACCGCACGCAAACCGTTCAACCAACCAACACTCACTAAACCCACAAGTCAAAACCAAAAAGGCCTAAGCCCTCAAATCCCTACCTAAACTCTAAACCCTCCAAGCTCGAAAACCTGAACCTTAAAAGCCCTGATCCCCAAACACCCTCAAAGCCCCAAGTCCTAAACCGGTTTAGGGTTTAGGGTTTAGAGTTTTGGGTTTAGGGTTTAGGGTTTTGGGTTTAGGGTTTTGGGTTTAGGACCCTCAAAAACCCAGAGGCCAAGTTGAGAAAGCCGCCGAGCCTAAATTCGGAACCGTGGTCGTAAACGGATACCTGCGGCGGCTGCAACTTGGGGCTGCGACTTGGGGGTTGGATTTAGGGGTTTAGGGGTTTAGGGTTTAGGGGTTTAGGGTTTGGGGTTTAGAGTTCAGCAGCTCCTGGTCGAGCAGTTTTACAGTCAAGTAGTTTTTATGTCTTCGATATAACACCCACCCACCCTTAAATCCCATAACATAGGGACTATATTTTTTACTAACTTTATTGGCCAGCCTTCTATACCCAGTCATCGTATACCACAGCTTGTTCCACTTAATTGCATTTCTAGGCCTACTTAACAGATCAAAATACATATTGTATCGTAAATTTTATAAACTAATCGAAACAGCTGAACAACCATGGGTGGCTGCCCACGAACTTTCATTGTACCACTACGCGAAGCAATTCACAAGTTGTTTTCGGTTCAACCATGGGTGGATTTCACTGCGCTAAACGAAACATTTCACAAGTCTTCGTTTCAACCATGGGTGGCTGCCCAACACTTAGGAATGGATTTGTTAACCAATGCTTGCGTCTGCACCACATACAAACAACTGCTTCGAATAACCCCACCCCACCCTCGAACCACATCCAAGTACAAGCCGTGACCCCGGGCTGGGCTGCTGGGCTGCTGGGCTGCTGGGCTGCTGGCTGAGCTGGGCTGCTGGCTGAGCTGGGCTGGGCTGCTGGGCTGAGCTGCTGGAGGGCTGGGCTGGGCGGGGCTGGCTGCTGACTGGGTGCTTGCTGGGCTGCTGGGCTGGGCTGGCTGGGCTAGGCAGGGCTGGACTGGGCTGGACTGGCTGGGCTGGGCTGGGCTGGGCTTGCTGGGCTGGGCTGCGCTGGGCTAGGCTTCAAATACGCAAATTGGCGGGCGCCCAAAAAATGCCCACGAATTTGCATATGCAAATTGGCGGGCGGGCTAGGCGCCCACGAATTTGCATTATGCAAAAACCCGCGACAGTCATTAGGGTTTATATATATATATATATAGGGTTTAGGGTTTAAGGGTTTAGGGTTTAGGGGGTTTGGGGCTTAGGCTTGGAGATTGGAGCGCTCTGAATGACTCTGAGCCTCAAACCTGAACCTCAAGCTGAACCCAAGATTTTCAAGATGCTAAGAACTTGAGCCACTTCTGAAAACAACAAGCAGGGCTCCGACCGGCGTTTTCTCAAGGGTTTGTGAGCATTTGTTTACGCTAGGCGGTTTAAGAGAAGTGTGGGAACTCGGGTCGTTTTAAGATTGAGAAGCATTTCGGGATTTATGTCTTCCAGAGCTTTTGGGTGAGCTTTTCGGAGGCTTAGCATTTAGGTAGATGACGAGGGACGACTTCTGAACATTGCAGAAAGTTGCTGTTTGCGGGATTCAGTCTTTGGGGTCTAGGGGTCTAGCATCTATGTAGAGGGTTGAGAATTGAGGGTTGAGGGGATTCAGGGCACTGGCTTAGAAGGTACACTTTTGCGTGTGTGCGGTATGTAAGCGACTAATGGCAGTAGTCAGACTCAGAAGGGCTCTTTCACAGGTCATGAGAACAATTGACAAATAATTTGGACAGAATCTTGAAGTTTGTGGTAGCACGAGCGACATAGAATCGCAACCATGCTCATGATGCATAGCTTGGCTTCTTCCAGAGGCAGTAACGATCACGCCACCATAAATAAGATTCGGGCTAGACCCCGAACGGCCACATAATCTTCGATGTGACGGAAGCGCGTTTACTCAATATCAGCCTCAGCTGCTGGTCCTAGGTTTGAACTGCCGCAACCCTACAAGACCCGAAGCTGAAAACTAACAGCCCGAAACTCAAACCCGCAATCCCTGCTCATTCAAGAAAGTCGAGCCCTCAATATCCTTGCAGCATGCTGTGCAAATCCTCATAGAGTAGTTTAAGACAATCTCAATCGAAAACAGCCTACCACGGCACCGAGAAGACTGTTTGATCCTAAGCCCGGCCCTACCTGGACCCTGAAGAACCTACTTTTTTAGGGCTCCTTATTGTGATTTCCTTATATAAGTCCTTAAAAAGGTATATAGGTTATTTGGGGTTCAGGTAGACCCTCAACCCCCTAAACCATGAACTCCCTAATCCCAAAACCATGCCGATCCCGTGGGAGCACGCGGCGATGCGAGGCTTCTTCTCCGTGACTGCGTAGAGAAACGACCTCGGGTTTCGGGTGTGGTGTTGGGGGTTTAGGGTTCTTGGGGTTTGGGGTTTAGGGTTTTGGGGGTTTAGGGGTTGGGCTTTGGGGTCTTGGGGTTTGGGGTTTAGGATTCTATGTTTAGGGTTTAGGGTTTCAAGGTCCATGTTGCAGGCTTTGGCGTTTCGCGTTCAGGGGTTGAAGCTTCGGCCTTATGTGTGATTCTGCAGTGAAAAAGCCCTGCCGCTGGGTTCAGATGTTTAGATGCTTCGTGGTGACACTTCACGACGAAAACATCCCGAGCAGAACCAGAAAACCAGGAGAGACGCGCTGGCCGATCAGGTGGAGGGGTGTCAGATTTCAACAAAAACGACAGGAGCCACTAAATATTTTGTTCCACTTGCACTTCCTTGCGCGGCGGCATCTCGTCCTGTGCAAATCTGAGTCGACTGAGACGACCCAAAAATGCCGGAGAAGCAGTACAGGTCTGGAATAGCGGGGAACTTAACCCCTAAATGTCTCCACCGACACTTCCACAAGCTGAGCCCAGAGCTGCAAAAAGGGTTTGGGGGTTAAGAGGTGAGGGGTTGGGGTTTAGGTAAGTCCTGAGCCCCTGAGCCCCAACTTCTTATGACTGCGCAAACTACCAGACCCTGGTCCTCGCTTGCAAACGAGAGGGTTGGTATTTCTTGTGCTTGTTGAGCAAGCAGCCCGGGCTCCAGTTATTCAGGTAACCGGAACCCTAAACACCAAACCCTCTGAACCCCAAACCTTAAACCCTACTTGGAGGATCATGGGACTTAGTAAGTATGGTTATAAGTACCCTACTAAGTGAGGTTATAACTAACTATAAGTATACTTACCTTAATTATAACCCTAGCTACTAAGTCCCATGATCCTCTAATTAAGCCCTAAACTCTAAACCCCTATAGATCCCATTCAAAGGAACCCTATAGATTCCTTTAAGGAACCCTATAGATCCCTATAAGGACTCCTTAAAGCAACCTAGTCTCCCTGGAGCCTAGCCCCCAAAGCACGTGCCAGCGAGATCCAGGCGATTTTCCGGCATTTGGGACACCGATGATTCCGACCTTACCGTCAATGTAAGGGCTTACCTATAGTCTCCATTGTAGTTCCTTTTTGGGGTTCCCTTTTAGGATCCCTAATATAGAATTGGCTAAACCAAAAAAAGGAACTACAATGGAGACTATAGGTAGGCTTTGGGGTCTACCTTAACCTACCAGAACCTACTGTTTTGTAGGGTCCCTATAAAGCGCATATTAGAGTTTTTAAAAAGAACCTGCAAAAAAGTAGGGTTTAGTGGGTCTAGGTAGGGCTTAGGGCAATGTAGGGTTGCACCGTTATCTGCTATTTCTTGATTAGCAATGAGCTTGAGGTCTTGCTGGCAAGGTTTAGGGTAAGCAGGCTTTGGACTGGTTTAGATGCGGCTGTTTAAGCTGAGCGTTTAAAGGACTCGTGTTGTGCCTCCACGTTATGCTAATCGCCTGTGAATCACCCGTTCATCTGAAACTCGAAAACAGCTTCAAGCTTGGATGAACAGGCTTTGGGTCTAGGGTTTCTAAGGCAAGTGACTGACGGGCAAATCAAGTACACTGCGGGTTGCGATTCCTGGCGCCGGTGTCATACGAACATAGGTTTACATAAGGTGCCATCTCCGATACTAGAGGTAGGGCCCGATGCAGGTGGACCCGTACACCCTGAATCCAGAAGCCTGAGCCCTAGGCCCAAAGCTGTCTTGAGACACTTTGAAGGCCGACAAATCTCTACCGACACTGAAGCTAACCCCAGCCCTGAATTATCTGAAGCCTCGCACCACAGAAGTGATTTCTCCGTGGTTGGAAACCTCCCCGCTTTAAGTTCAGACTTTCAGGTTAAATACACACGTAACCATTGAGAGCTACTCCAATGCCTCCGTGCCAGGCACTCTGACACAGCATACAGCATACCTCGTACGCCAAAATATCTTGCCGAAAGCATGCTCCAACTTGCAAATCTTCGGCGTCGACAAACTTCAAACCCAGAGACCTATAACGCAGATTTGGAAGCTGCGACGGCGTAGCTGCTGCGGGGCCGGGGCCCATCCCTAGCCAAACCTCAAAACCTCAACCGAGGCTTGAAGGTTTAGGGTTTAGGGTTTAGGGTTTATCGAGCTACAAGTAGCTAACAGTCCGAAGTTCACGTTCGACCCACCTGAACCTTCCGTATTGAAACGCCTAAGATTCCTGGACATCTCCTTTACGTCTTTTGGATTCCGGGCTTCGGGATTTTAGTGTTTTAAAATCGTGAAGCTCTAACGGTTAGGCTTTGGCTGCTTATGCCTGCCCCTGGCTGCGACTCATCAGCCGAAGCGTCTCAAAGTCAGTTCGAAGAGCCCTAAGGGCCCTTGTACCCAAATAGTACGTACTTTGGCCCACAGATAAAATTGTCCCTATATAGGTACTTTGGGGCTAAGGCATAGTTGCATAATATACTATTTGTGTAGTTGTCAAAATTACGGTCCTTTTCTGGGTACCCTAAATTTAAGCTGCCGTTCTATAATAAGGACCCAAAAAGGGACCCTGACGTTGACAACCTACCCATTTGGGTGCATTGACCCATAGAAGACGCGCTTTATGCCAGGCCGATCGGATCCGGGTTGAAAGCTCGGGCTTCCTTTATAGGGGTTGAGGGTTTAGGGGTTTAGGGTTTAGGGTCTAGGGGTTTAGGGTTTTGGGGTTTAGGGATTTAGGGCCCGAGTTTAGGGTTTAGGGTTTCGTCTCCATTGTAGTTCTTTTTGTGGTATTTATGAACCAATTTTATGGTTAGGACCCTATATCATCATTGTTTTTGGGTTCACCGAAAAAAGGAACCACCAAAACCTACTCTGTTTGCAGGGCCCCTTTGCATTTTTTGTAAAACACGGCTTGGAGTAAGAGCTTGCGCACAAAAGGTTCGGTACGGAAGTTTAAGGTAGTCCTCAAGCTACGAGTCTAGGGCTTCGGGCACAGGCCACTTTAGGGGTTTAGGGTTTAGGGGTTTAGGGTTTACAGGTTTAGGGTGTTGGGGTTTAGGGTGTAGGGGTTCAGGGTTTAGGGGTTTAGGGTTTAGGGTAGGGCCCCCTTTCTCCTGGAAAGGGCAGGCTACACTGGCTTTAATAAACAATAACCCAGCAATCTCGAACTCGGATGAGTACAGGACTGAATCCATGATCCTGAGAAAGTGCAGGAAAATCCGAAATTCATGACCTAGCACAATTCCTTCCGGCCCAATGCTGTGTTCAATTCTGAATGTCCGTTCTTGCGAAGCGTTTGGTACGCCACACTACGATGGACTACTAGAACCGACGTCATTAAGGACACGCATCGACGCATGATTCTATAAAGTGGTGTTACAGGGTTCCGGCGTGTGCTTGAGGTACCCGGCAAACGCACCAAATCCTGAAAAGGCGAAGAACCGCAAAATGTGACTTACTTCAACGAGTCCATAACAAGCCCTCGGTGTGGGGTCCCGGCATCTGCAATGATCTTCAGCTCCAACTCCAGCCACCGCCCCCTTCCTGTGAAATCGGCTGCAAGGTCTCAGAAGTTTCAGGGCGGCTGAGGGTACCAGGATGTACCAGCTTTAGATAGACTCATAGACGGGCGAAACTTCGCATCAACATTCATGTGCGCCCTGGGACTGAACTGCACACCCGCACGCTCTCAGAGCATCGGACTGCACGAAATTTGTGATAGGCTGTGGATGGGAGCATCCCGCCAGAGATACTGGTGGCACTTCGTAATTTTCTCATGTCTTTCTATCCCAGACCCTCCAAGCACACTAAACATCACTAAACCCTACCCTAAACCGCAAACGCAAACCCTAAACCCTAACCGCTAAACCCTAAAGCCGTGAACCCTAAACCCTACATACCAAAATTTACGAAGCCCCTGTGCTAGGCTCTTGGGATCCAAATTTCGTGTGGCGCGCTCGCAAGCTCAGCCCGCATCCCATGCGCTGCTGGCACACCTAATGTAGGTGCCTGAACAATAAAATCAACTCAGGGCTTTGGGCTTTGCGGGGGATAGTGTACTATAATATGTATAATAACATATATATATATATATACTAATATCTAGTTCAAATTCTGAAGGCCGCAGCCCTACAGTCGACCGACCCCCGGCACCTGCTAGAACACGCAAGCACCCACAGAACTGTATGTAAGTCTTATAGCCCTCCTTTGCAAACCCGCGCAGCATGGTGAGAACATGCTATCGGCAAAGAAACATGCCTCAGTCTGGAGGCTTGCGACAACCTAGGCAATCAGCTACGTAATGCATGTGGCCAGCTTGCCGATCACATACATGCACTTACCTGGAGAGAGGCTGCAAGCCCAAGCCTCAAGAAACACTTCTGATGTTGGCATCTTATGGAACTCATGGATGGCACTGTCTGCTTTTCCACGTAGCAGACGCAGTGTGAAAAGATCACATAACTGTAGTTGCACGACTTTGGAATTCCGCGAGAGATGCGATGGGATCCAAACTTGCCTGAAAGTGTGTGGGGATGGGACTGCGCTGCGGAGAGCGAGTGCTAACACTACACCAACGGATAGAAGCTGTGCAAGGGCGGATCCCACTCCGAGACGGCGATGCCACTTTAAACACTACAATTCACTACGAAGGTGTTGCCTTCATTGCTTCCGCTTCTGGGACTGCTCGGCCCGCTCCCTCGCTTTCTCTTGCTGCTTGCGCCAGGCCACCGCCTGCTTCCAGGCCTTCTCCACCTCCTTCGGCGAGAAATCCTTGGGCTGTACAACCAGCTCAAGATTCTTGCCGTTGACGGCGCATTGGGCCCGCCAGCCCTGTACTGACCTTCTCCATTTCACTCCCTTCTCCGGCCCCAGAGGCTCGAAGTGCGGGATCTCCGAGAGCGGCTTCACGGGCACCAGCTCATCTTGCTTCCCCAACTCCTTGGCCAGGTCCCGGGCCCTGGCCTCTGCCTCCTCCTTCACCTTGAACATGCCTCCATGGACCTTCTTCTTGGTGGAGGGGTCTGTGATCTCCACCCGAAAGGTTCCATTCTTCCTGTTGTACTTGATGCCCCTCACCGTGGAGCTGAAGGCCTTCTCCGTGATGGGCTTCGGTGGCTTCAGCTTGCCGAGGCGCACGAGCTCCTCGCGGAAAGCCTTGGCCTCCTGGAGTGCCGCCTCCAAGGCTTCGGCCTCGCTGAGGCCGAGCTTCATGTGCTTGGAGATGGGGAAGTGACGTTGCTGACACGGTTTGCTGGGATCTGACCATTGGACTCTCCAGCAGGCCTTCCCTCTGTGCCAGCAAATTCCCTGGATGCCGCTCTGGCGCTCCAGGCCGCGGAAGCTCCTCGTGACGACCTGAGCTCCCGGCTCCGGTCTCGTCGACTCCAAGGGCTTCGGCTCGCCGGGCTCAGGGACGGAGCCCACGGACTCGAAGATCTCGAGGCCCTGCATGGCGGAGCCACCTCCGGTCGGTGAGAGCTTCATCATGCCGTCCTCCACCAGCAGCCAGCCATTGCCGGCCCAAGCTCGCGTTGGAAGATCACGCATCCAGGGCCACATCTTCATGCACTCAGCTGCTCGGTGCTGATTGCCGGTTGAGCTCCTGTGGGCCTGTGGCCTGGATCCAGCAGTAGGCTCTGGCTGTCGCTCGCTGTTTGAGTCATGGAAGAGAGCATGGTGTGGATTCTCGCGGTAGAAGTCGCGCAACTCTCTGAACTGCTCTTTGCCGAGGAGCTGCACGCATGCTGTTGCTGTGTCTCTTACACATCCTTGCCACGGAGCGCCTGCTAATCCGAGAAACGGGCTGGCCGGACAGCAGGGCTTCGTGGGGAGCCACGTCTTGCCAGAGGATTGAAATGCTAGGCATTTCTCGGCCCACTCTGCCAATCGCGACTCGAAGGGTGGAACTGACTTGTCAGATCTCTTCTGGCTGATGCGACGCCTCTTGGCGTCTTGGATTGGACCAGCCTGCTCAGCCTGTTCCTCCTTCACACACACTTGCTCCTCTTCATCCACCGGCTCGCGCTTCACGCCAGTCCTCGATTGAAAAATAACGTCATGGATACCACGAGAGCATGCCAAGGGTGTTAGAATTCAGGACGATACGACAGGGACCTCCATTACATGGAACGTTGCCGTAAATGGCCACAACCTTCACAAGCTTCTCAAACGAACTCACTGCTCGCGAACCGCGTCGACAAGACTCACTGGAATTGATTACTAACACTTATAGACTATTCATAGATTGGGGATCTGCTTCCGAAGTGGTAACATTTCGTGATACAGGTTTCCTCTTTAGGCTGCTGGAGCACAACGGAAGCCCAAAATTTCGGCAACTCCCGGGCTGAGGGTCTAGAGTTTCAGTCTCGGTGTCGTTTGGCTCTCGAGAGAGGGGAGAGTTTGGGGCGGTTCAGATTAGGCCCAAGACGCTGATGGGTGCATGCTCTTTTGCCCAGGGGCAGGACATTGAAGTTACGAGCATGTGTAGGACACTGCCGACTGCGAGAGCCACCAAGGAGCCCCGATGCCCCAAGCTCTCACAACTGCCAGAAATCAATAGCCCTATAAACCCCATCACCTGAACTCTGGACTCCAGGACCTTGCAACTGCTTGCTCCAAGCACACATCGCAGAGGCTTCATGTTCTGCTAGCTGCCGAGGCACACCCGGCGCTGCCAGTCGTGGTCCTGCGTGGGCAATTCATATGAGGAGACGGAACGCAGCTGTGCATGTTGCTGGAGATCGGATGATGTCCTTAACCAACATGTCATGGAGGCCTACATAGTAGGAGCAGGTCGTGCGAGTGGGTGGGTGGTTATGTATGCAAATTCTGGCATGCTGTTGGTTCCTTTGCATTCCTGTCACGGATGGGCTCCTAACCGCAAAATAGATCATCCACGAAAACGGTGCTGCAATACAGGGACTAGTGACTAGCAATTGCAGACCCCAACACTACCAGTCTGGAAGTCCCTCTGCTCGCAGTGTGTCATTAGTTTGGGCTCCCGACCAAGAACTGATAAGATCCTGACTTGTCAAGTAAAACCCACGCCAGACCCTGAATAGTAGTAGCTTCTTGTCTGGATGACCGTCTTGACGGTGAAGATAAATTATCAGTACACAAGTTGGTCGAAACGGATTCTACCGTTCAGGGTCTAAGGTAGAGCATGGTAGAGCCTAACCCGACAGCAAAGGAAAACTCAACGCCTCAGGTCCACAACTATACAGGCTACCTGGACTTCGTCGCGTCCGGGCCGTTACTGAGGACTTGGTGGCCCTTATTCCATCTCTTAGGGTTTAGGTTCTGTTACAACCCTAAACCCTAAACCCCTAAAGGTTGCGCACTCGAAAGCAAACAGCTTGAGAATGGACGAGAACTGGCATAGCGATGATTGGGTTCCCGCACTGCAGCAAGTTTGTTCACAGTGCCCAGCCCAAAGGGCCCAAAGTGAGGATGACACAAGCCAGCATTCGGGAGCTATAATTGGCGTAGAGATGGAAACACTAGCGGCAGCACCCTCCAGGGACATTGCTGATACACAGATACTCCAATATCTTCATGATGGGCTGCCCCCCTAAGTCGTGTGGCCGGCGGACAAACTACATCCGAATTCCGATCCTGGATGCAAAGAAATCCAAAGCCCGGGCAAGCTCCTCTTGCTTCACCTCATGCTTGATCTCAGCCTTGACCTTCCAAGCGAGACGTTGTGTTGGTGTTTAGCGACATGCGACGGGTCTACAACACGAGACACCGGACCTGATGTCAAAAAGGATGATAGGCTGCTCCGGTATCTCATGGTGTTCCATCTTTGAGTCGGGTTCGAAACAGCATGCAGTAGACAACCCTACGCCCCCAACAGCAGGCTGAAGTGTGCTCTGCAGGCTGTGTCCTAGCCAAGACAAAGGTGGATGCTGTGTCTTCAAGGCACGTTTGCTAGCTGACTTTCTTTATGCGCTGCCAGGAGCCCTCACAAATCACACAAACTAATCAGCCTCAGTCAATGAACAGTATATTATATGCGTATGTACTTCCACCGGACCGCAGAACATGATCGGTTCGCAGTTCGCAGCCTCCATTCGGAAACCAGGGCCATCGAGCTCCGGAAGAAACCCTGAATAACCGAATCCCGGAAGACATTGCATCTGTAGACAGCATGCCGCTGTCCGTGTGACAGTCTGCATGCTCATGATGCTGACAACTACTAAGAGTACAGACACTGGACTTGACAACATCTACTAGAATCACTAGATGTATGCTAGCTCTGCGTTCACGGTGTCAATGCCCGAAGGTCCTACATGAAGGTTTGCAGGTAGATAGAGCTATGAGATACGACGAGTAGTCCCAACAGAGTTATAGATTCAAAACACAGCTCGAAGAAAACGTTAAAAGAAAAATACTTGTTGCTAGAGTGTCATGCTTGTGAAATCCCCTGGTCCTCTACTGAGGCCGCTGACACGGTCCAGGTCCTTTTCCAGGTTTTCCAACAACTCCAATCTTTACAAACTGATCTGCAGCAACTTCCCCTGACTGCCTTCGCGCGCAGTCTTCGACGACAGCTGACGACCTGCAGGGTTCAGGGGGTTGTTGGTGGTGGAGGCCACAGCTCGGAAGCCCCCATCCAGCGCAGGGAACAGGATGTCTTGTTTCGCTGTAACTTCTACACTGCTCCCAAGGGACCTAGCCTCGCACGAAACAACACAGTAGTCCTGAAGATCGAGGACTGCAGGTGAGGAGGCGAAACCCGGCAGGTGAGGATGCCGAAGTCTAAGATATGTTCATTGTGCTTGCCGGTTTCGATGTGATCAGAGCTCTAGGTGCAAGATACAGTAAGCAACCTGACTGTCATGGTTGAAGCAGAAGGTCTGTTGCCATCGACATCACTACCCTTGGTGGATATCACAACATCACCACAAGTAATTCCAGTCATTTTCCCCCCATCTTCCGCCGGCCGCCTCATCTCCAACCTTTGGCTTCATCTCATCGTTCGCAACCTCCTCCTTCACCTCCTGCTTCATGTCCTTTAAAGGCGATCTAGAGGGGTTTTATAGGGTTCCGTAGAAGGGATCTATAGGGTTGCTTCATGTCAAGCGCTTGTCTGACTAATGCTAGTTATCTGATGGGCAACCCGCGATATAAGCCACAAGTTTCCCGTGCATGTGCCTTATCTGCCCATGGACGTCTCCGACTCAAGTCTGAAGTCCGTAGATACTTTTAAGACCACTCAACTTTGCCATCTGAGAAGGCCTGAATCTTCCATGATTTGCTTGTCTCCCTCCCTCTCACTGCGTCGTGATAGTACATAGTGCTGTTGTCACGGAAAGGGCTTCCATCCTATCGACATGTGTACCTGAAGACAAATATGTGACGCTCGATGGTGCTGATGTAGAATAGGTGTGCTACTGCACTGCACCGAAATAAAATCACGTCATAACTGCCCGTGCCATTGCATGTCATACTGCATTACAGCAGTATGCTCCCCTGGCATGTGATTCTATAATTGCCATGCTTTATGCACGCTTTGCAACACGATATAGCATGGACTTCGCATGCGCCTAGACTGGAAGTCGCGCGCAATGCTTCCCGGCCAATCTGAGACTGAGACCAGTGGGGTCCGAAGCTGGAATCTGAACCGCCAGAAAAATGAACAATGCGAGGCCCGTCTACAGGTGGAGCAGGTTGTTATGAGGATGAGAAGATACAGAAATGCCTCAAGAGCCCAGCCGTCGCAGAACAGTGACAGTGATGCGTACGGCTGAAGCACCGGGAATCGGATGTGGAACATTTGACTGACTAGCGTCGTTTCCAAACCAGATTTTATCAATATCTGTTCCACAGCAAACAAAGACCCTCATGTTTGGTACAATCTAGATGCCGGCAGTGCTCGAATCCCAGATGTGTTCACACAAGTGTAGCCCATCACCGCAGCCTTCTTTAGGATCTCCTCTTTGACTTCTTGTGACATGCTCTTGGAGGACTCCTCCTTGATCTCTGTCTTCACGTCCATGTGTACATCCTTCGGGACCTCCTCTTTTACCTCCTTCTTCATGTCCTTGATTGGCTTCGTTGGTGAATGCTTGCTCAAGCCTTACATACTGCTGCTGAACTTTGGCAGGGGGCGAATCTCAACCTAACAGCCTACATGTCTGCTGGGCAACCAAGGATACCTCTAGACTTTGAGGGTTAGGGTTGAAGGCACTGTTGATCTGCCTACCAAGCTCATGAGTGTCTCTGTTACACTTGTTCCTGGGCAAAAACCCACAAAATACCGTCGACACCATGCGCTGCACACCGTCCCGGCTGAAGATAGGGATCTGAGCCCAGTGCAAGGCACCAAAAAGTGCGATCGGATGCGAAGTAGATACACAGGGGCTCAATGTACCCATATATCATATACTTAAACCCTAACCTAAACCCCCTAAACCCTAAGCTTTAAAGTACCTACATAGGACCCCTTTAATTATAAGGCTACTGCGCATCCTTCAACTCGAGGCCTGGTATGACGGTTCTCAGCTAAGCCCTGAGCCAGTAAACCCGCTTGGGGTTCGAGGTACAACGGTCAATGAGGGTTTACCTTAACACCTACCATAACCTACAGATTTGTAAGTTCTTCTAATTCGGAATTTGTGCAGGCACTACAACAAAGTAGGGTCTGGTAGGTGGAGGAAGGTAGGTTAAGGGTTCAGAGATCTCAGTCCCTGAAATCCAGATTGACTGTCGAGACTAAAATGTTTCGGGGTCTCGTATGTTAGCGATGAAGACTTCACGGGGACCGCTAGACAAAGGCGTACCACATCCCATTATCCCTAAGGCTCCATGAGGGAAACCATCATATAGCCTATGCTCAAGCATTTAAAGGGGTTCCTATATAGATCCTTTAAAATGCGATGTGGGTACATGGAGCCTTGCGGTATGTACTTCCACCAGCCCGCAACCGCAGCCTTCTGGGTGATCTCCTTTTTAACTTTCTCCTCCGTGCCCTTGGATGCCTCCTCTTTAACTTCTTTTTTCACGTCCTCCAGGCACGGTTGTCCGTCTGTGCGAGAAGCATCAACCGCAAAAGCCGCAAATCAGAAACATTCGGATCTTGACCCTCGGACCCTAAACCCTGAACCCTCCGATGACTGTTTGGCAAAGGCATGGCACGAGCCCCGTAAACATCATCTGTAGCACATGTCTTAAATCTCAGTACGCTGCTTAGAAACCGGAGAGAAAATCGGCTTGAATTGAAAGTGCGCCACTGAGACAGAGAGAGAAAGAGAGAGAGAGAGACAGACAGAGACAGAGAGAGACAAAGAGAACAGAGATAGAGAGCGAGAGCGAGCGAGCGAGCGCGAGCGCAACTTTAGAGTGAAGCTACAAGTGCCGCCGAGCAGGAAGCACTCGATAAAGCAGACGTCCAGCACAAGCCATTGAACCCTACATCTAACACCCATTCTGCAGGCCAGAAAAAATCACAATGTCGTTGAAAGACGGCCTATCTCACAATGTATGCTCGCGTTGGGGTAGTTGGCTGGTCTCGGTAAGTCCTGCTTCCCACCCCCGGGAAGCAAACATAAACATGTCCTTCACCTTCAACGGCCCGAACAGTAGGATCCTTGCTGTAACTGTAAGGACGACGCGATGGGAGCCCGCAACCACCAAGTATCGTAGTTTAGCCCTGAGCCCAAAAACCCTAAACCCCAACCCCCAAATACCCCATTATTCCCCAATACTCCCTAAGCTTCCCTAAGGTTCCCCAAAGCTCCCTAGTACCCTCCCCCCTTGAACCACCCACCCTTAAGGACCCTACACAAGTAACCGACGGCAGAGGCTCCTTCGGTTCCAGTTTGGCTTCGGCTGCATGCCGAGTACTGCCTTCTGGCTCCTGGCACGACGAAGCAGCCGCGATTCTTCAAAACCCGAAAACGCCCTAAATCCTGAAAGCTAAACCTAAACCCTAACCCTAAACCCCAACCCCTAAACCCTAGACCACAAACACCCCTAAGAACGAAGCCACAAGCTGAAAACTCCAAACTCCACTTCTTCTAGTTATTTTGACCTGAGGCCCAGGGTTTCGAGATTGGAAAACAGGAATTGTGGCCAGGGCTTTGGCGGGGACGGATGATGTAGTCCCCTGATTGATACACCCCTCTCTCTGAGTCAGCATGAAAGTAAGGCTCCTGCTGTGACGGCCTCATCAAGGTTGCGGGGCTCAGAGTTTAGCGCTCGACTTCTAGTGCTTCAGAAAAAGATGGAGTCCGTTCCGATCCGAACGACTTGGGTTTCAATGCAGAAGACTTTCGCAAGACCTCTCTGAATGCACTGAATCCCGATCCCTCACCTGGGTGTTCGTCGTGACGTTTGTGAGGCTGCATGTTATCGAGTCCTTCATAGTGGGTTCGGCTAGAAGGCAGCTCCGGCTTGCTTGAAGAAGCAAATGGAGCTTCGGCTCATGTTTGGGATTGTCTGGGTCACAGGTTCGAAAACCTTCCGAGGCAGCCTACAGACCAGCCTGCATGCAGGAACTACAATAAACCCTAAACCCTACAAAAAAACGTTTGCCTCCGTTTCTTCCTTCACTTCATCCTTCACCTCCGATGCAGCAGCGACTGTCTGAAGCACGGGTCCGTGATGTGGGTAGTTGGTCTTGATTAAGCAGGCTGTGAGTATGGGTTTAGTTTACATAAGGTTTAGGACGGTTTCTTAATTACGTAACCACGCTGGGAGTCTGATGAGTTTGGGGTGTAGTCGTTTAGGGTTGAGGATTAAAGCTTCCAGATAAGGCTTTGCATGGTCAACACTCCATCCTTTTCCCATGTGCGACCTGTAAAAACAGCAGGGGTGTAACTTGGCATTCTGCATGAAATTGAAGGCACCGTCACACGATAGCAGACAAAGATACCATGCACCAAAAAACATTCAAGACTTTTCGGAAATGTTAAGAGGCGCCGTTGGCATCATTTGCGAGACATCTCAACTGCTATGGGTTTCGGGTGTGGAGCCTGGGGCTTACATGACATCTCGCAGACCCTGTAGGCCCTGAGCTCGAAGTTCAACCCGAAAACCCCAAACCCTAAACCCGGACCTGTCCATTTGGCTGGAGCTGGTCTTTAGTTCCATCCTGTGGCGGTGCCTCACGCGACGACAGGGGCGTTTGGAACTTGAGCTGTGGAAGGGCGGTTTCGGATTCGAGACGGTAGGGTTTCAGGGCTTTGGGGTTGCAATGGGGTACACAAACTGTATATCTTCTAGGATTTGGATGGTTGAGGGCTTCATGGTGCAGACAAGATTCATCCTTCCAGACTTGAAGGAGTAGGGTCAGACAGTCGCAGGTGCACATGCTCTCGCTGCCACATGGCATGCATATCCTCTGATTTTCGGGCTCTTTTTGGAGGCAGTCTACGAACTGGATTGTTCTTTCTTCTGAAGAGGGCGCTCCGCTAAGCTAGTAACTTTAAACGGTCAGGGCGGCAAATGTGAATAGCTCAGCATATCCCTTCCCCCCTCCACACACACACACACACACACACACACAACCGTCCGTTAACAACACACATGTTGCACTTGTAACAAAAGGGGTATGTGGGTCACCGGAAAAGGACACACACACAGAAACGCCACAGCTGAATTGAAGCCCCTGCACCTGGATGTCCTTCGCTACTTCTTGCTTCACTTTGTGAAGCTTCACTGGCTCCTCCGAAGGAGCAGAGGCGGTTCACACGGATGCTTGTCAGATGAATGAAATCCTTGAACCCTAAACCCCTGAACCCTAATTAAACCTTAAACCCCTCAACCCAAAACCCTAAAGCCTTAAACCGCTAAACCCTAAAACTCTGAACCCTAAACCCTAAACCTCTATAGTAACCCTCATAGTCCCCTTTAAGGTCCCTAAATCCCTTATTGTAGAGTTTGGGAACCCTAAAACTCTGAACCCTAAACCCTAAACCAGTGTTACTTAGAGGATCATGGGACTTGGTCAGTGAGTTATAATTATTAATTGGGGTTATAATTCCCCTAAGTGGGGTTATCCTAATTATAGCCTACTTATAACATTACTTACTAAGTCCCATGAGCCTTTAAGTAAACCCTAAACCCTAAACCCTATATAGATCCCTTTTAAGGAACCCTCTATATCCCTATAAGGACCCCTTAAAGGAACCTTACTAAGTCCCATGAGCCTTTAAGTAGACCCTAAACCCTAAACCCGATATAGATCCCTTTTAAGGAACCCTCTAGATCCCTATAAGGACCCCTTAAAGGAACCTTACCAAGTCCCATGAGCCTTTAAGTAGACCCTAAACCCTAAACCCTATATAGATCCCTTTTAAGGAACCCTCTAGATCCCTATAAGGACCCCTTAGAGGAACCTTACTAAGTCCCATGAGCCTTTAAGTAGACCCTAAACCCTAAACCCTATAGATCCCCTTTTAAGGAAATCTATAGATCCCTTTAAGGAGCCCTTAAAGGAACCCTATAGAACCAGTGTTAGTAGACCCCAGAGCCGCCAGAGCTTGGACCCAAAACAAAACTCGAAGCTTGAGGTTTTGGCGTGAACGAAAACCTCAAACTTCGGGTTTAGGGTTTAGGGGTCTAGGGTTTAGGGTTTAGGGTTTAGGGTTTAGGGGTTTAGGGTTTAGGGTTTAGGGTTTAGGGTTTAGGGGTTTAGGGGTTTAGGGGTTTAGGGGTTCGGGGCTTTTTGGGGGTGAAAAGTTGAGGGTTTAGGGCTTAGGGAGCTCTTCACTCCTGGCTGCCAGCGCCATCTTGTCCTTCTTCCTGCCCCCGGGAAGCTTTCGGGTTCGACTTCCATCTAGGGCATTGGGTCAAAATCCGGCCGTAACCCGAAATCCCTAAACCCTAAACCCTAAACCCTAAACCCTGAAGCCCTAATCCCTGAAGCCCCAAGGCCCCAAAGTCTAAACGGTGTATGAGATCCGAGCTTTGAACCCTGAGCCCCAGAAAGCCTGGAGGCCCTCGAGAAGCAAAAGAGCCCTCCAGTGATACAATCCTTCCCGCAAGCTACCCTGCAGCGTGGGCTTCGGCTGTTCCGGGAATCGATCCCTATAGACGACCAAAACCCTAAACCCTAGAACCATAAACCCTGCTAGGAAACTCCGCGCAGTGAAGCACGATATGTAGACTCTCAGCTCCGCACAGCAAGCCCTGAGCCCTGGGCCCTAAACATGCAAGCGCACTAGCTCCAAAAGACCCTAAACCCTAAAAACCCAGATCCCTAAATACCCCGAGCAAAGCTCATCCCCAGAGCTTGAAGCCCAGATTGTCATGCCGACAGTACCGGAAGCAGCGAGTGGACCCCAAACCGTGCCCTGGAATTCTGGAATAAGATATTACGAACTCTTTACGCCCCTAAAGTGAGCGGCGCAAATGTCCCCTTCCCAAATTCTGACCTGCCAAGCTACCATACTCAACCCCGAATACCTTGTTATTGAACAGTTAGTGTCGGTATTGTAGGTACCCAGACCTTCCAAAATCCCTTAATTAAGGAATATACCTTAAATTATAGTAAGGATCCTACCATAATTTAAGGGAGATTCCTTAATTAAGGGATTTTGGAAGGTCTGGGTAGTTTGGGACCTCTCAACCTGAAGCCCTAACCCTCAATCAATCCTGAAGAAATTGGGTGGGGAGAGCCTTCCGCAGCTGTGGTGGGCGAAGCTTGCGCTGTTTGGCAATCTTCACCGATAGAACGATCACCTCAGCGCCGGGAACCACGAAGGACAGACAGAGTTTCGTGGACCACACAACCAAACCCTACCACCACTAACCCCAAACCCAGACCAGTCTAGTGTTTGGTGTACTGAGGTTAGGGGGTATTTGCTTGTAGGGCTGAAGACACAAGCACCACAGCTTCGGAGCAGGGTCCTTGAACCGTAATTAGTCTGAGACCACCCTCCTGTGAAAGCAACATGCAGACACTATTTTCATAAAGGCAAAAAAGCTCTTTCATAGGAAGTAGTGTGAAGTAGTATCACGTTAAGTAGGTAAGTCCGTTTTCGGTTATATGTGTGTAGGCGTGCAGATATCTACGCGCACATACATGCACATATGCATACACAAAACATGAATACACGCATACATGTTTATGTGTGAATACAACTTTATACAAAGAACAGCAGAGTTCGTACCGACACAATAGGATAACTCCCTGAACCCTAAGCCCGAAACTCCCGTATACTAGGAAAACCTTATACGGTATGTCTACCTTAACCCCACATAACCTACCCTTTAGGGACGTATATACAGAAATCATATTAGGGGGCCCTAAAAAGTAGGTTCCTTAGAGTTTTATGCCAAGAAGCATGAAAACTCCGAACTTGGAATCCTGAACTCCGGAACCCCTACTGCAGCTGGCGAGTTGGCATCGTGTCAACACCGTCGGGGACGCTGTGAACACCACGGCCGTTCCAGCAATCCCTACGGGCCCTGTAGGGTCCATACCTAACCTGCATGGACCCAGTTGGACAAATAGACCTCACCCGAAAAGCTGGGTATCATTGCGCATCCCGACGAAAAAACTCAAGGACGAGCTTCTGATTCCAGAAGCCCAACTAGCCGGACAACCTTGAGGCTCCAACGACTACATATTTCCAGGGGTATAATGATGAGACTATGTTACCCTAAGGTCCCTAAACCCCAAACATAGGTATGACTTACGGGTTTAGGGTTTAGGTACTGTTTGTGTACTTGGAGTTTGGAAGGGCGCAGCCCCCAAAACTACCATAACCTGAGCAGGCAGGTCACATCTGCGGAAGCCATAGCAGCGTCTCTTGCAACAGTGGAATCTTGAGCCGCTCTGTACAACTGCCGAGATGCAACAGGTCATTCGGGTTCAAGGTCACCATGTTTGACATTCTGAGCCTGGAATACGCACCCTCACCTATAGAGTCCATGTTGGTTCCGTTTTGGGTTCAATCGGGATCCGAAAAACAGAACTGGTTACACCAAAAAAAGGATCTACAGCGGAGACTAGGTAAACCTTCCGATTGACTCCTCTGCTGTGCGGAGGCGCCCTTAATGTTACCCGGCACCCCAGAGACCTCCTCACAACCACAACCCTCGAAGTCAAATTCTGTAAGCCACAGCCCCACCTGCTAGAACACACGAGCACTCACGAGACGATAGGCCTTAGTGACCTTAGTTACAGTGCACACCCGCGCATCATGGTGATACCGTGCCGTCGACAAAGAAACATGTCTCGGTCTGACGGCCTTCGGTAACATGGGCACCTAGCTACTGCGATGCAGGCCAGCTTGCTGAACGACCATACCCTTTCCTGGAGGGAAGCTGCAACCCCAAACCTCGAGCCAGACTCCTGATGCCAAGGACCCTGTTAAAATTGTGGAACTCGATGGAGGGCGCCGTCTGCTTTTCCACATAGCATGCGCACGAAAAGAAAGTGTGAAGATCACATAACTGTAGTTGCACGACTTTGGAATTCGGCGAGAGATGTGATGGGATCCAAACTTACCTGATTGTTTGTGAAGTTTTGGACTGCGCTGATCACACTTGCAGAGCGAGTATACTATAACTACACTGCACAAACGAATAGTATTTCTGCGCAAGGGCGGATCCCACTCCGAGACGGCGATGCCACTTTTAATACTGCAGTCTTTGCAGCTGGAAACCGACACTACGAAGAACTTGCCCTCAGCGCTTCCGCTTCTGGGACTGCCCCGCCCGCTCGCTCTCCTTCTCCTGCTGCTTGCGCCAGGCCACGGCCTGCTTCCAGGCCTTCTCCACCTCCTTTGCCGAGAAGTCCTTCGGGCGGAACCTCATGTGCCTCAGCTTGCCTGCAACAGTGCAAGTTGCATGCCAGGCCTGCTCCCCACGGTTCCACTTGATGCCCTTCTGAGGCCCGAGCGGCTCGAAGTGTGGGAGCTCTGAGAGCGACTTCACCGGCACCACTCCGCCCTCGGATTCCACCCCCAACTCCTTGGCCAGGTCCCTGGCCCTGGCCTCCGCCTCCTCCTTCACCTTGAACATGCCACCATGGACCAGCTTCCTGGTGGAAGGATCTGTCATTTGAACCCGAAAAGTTCCAGCCTTCTTGTTGTACTTAATTCCCCTCACCGTGGAGCCGGAGGCCTTCTCCGTGATGGGCTTCGGTGGCTTCAGCTTGCCCAGGCGCACGAGCTCCTCGCGGAAAGCCTTGGCCTCCTCGAGGGCCGCCTCCGAGGCTTCGGCCTCGCTGAGCCCGAGCTTCATGTGCTTGGAGATGGGGAAATTGAAAACCTTCACCTTGCCGGCTTTCTTGAATTGAATCCGCCAGGCCGACAAATCCATCCTCCAAGAGATATTTTGGATGCCGCTCTGGCGCTCCAGGCCTCGGAAGTTCTTGGTGACGACTTCTTCGCCCTCAGCTCTGGGCTCCACCTGGCTCGTCGACTCCAAGGGCTTCGGCTCGCCGGGCTCCGGGACGGAGCCAAAGGACTCGAAGATCTCGAGGCCCTGCATGGCTGAGCCCCCGCCGGTCGGCGAGAGCTTCATCATGCCGTCCTCCACGAGCAGCCAGCCATTGCCAGCCCAAGCTCGCGTGGGAAGGTCCCGCATCCAAGGCCACATCTTCATGCACTCAGCTGCTCGATGCTGATTGCCGGTTGAGCTCCTGTGGGCCTGCGGTCTGGATCCAGCAGTAGGCTCTGTCTGTCGCTCGCTGTTTGGGTCACTGGTGTCATGGAAGAGGGCATGGTGTGGATTCTCGCGGTAGAAGTCGCGCAACTCTCTGAACTGCTCTTTGCCGAGGAGCTGCACGCATGCCGTTGCTGTGTCTCTTATACATCCTTGCCACGGAGCGCCTGCTATTCCGAGAAACGGGCTGGCCGGACAGCAGGGCTTCGTGGGGAGCCACGTCTTGCCAGAGGATTGAAATGCTAGGCATTTCTCGGCCCACTCTGCCAATCGCGACTCGAAGGGTGGAACTGACGTGTCAGATCTCTTCTGGCTGATGCGACGCCTCTTGGCGTCTTGGATTGGACCAGCCTGCTCAGCCTGTTCCTCCTTCACACACACTTGCTCCTCTTCATCCACCAGCTCGCGCTTCACGCCAGTCCTCGCTTGAAAGGCAACGTCATGGACATCATGGGAGCACGCCAAGGGTGTTAGAATTCAGGACGATACGACACGGACCTCCATTACATGGAACGTTGCCGTAAATTGCCAACCTTCACGAGCCTCTCAAACGAACTCACTGCTCGCGAACCGCGTCGACAACACTCACTGGAAATGATTACTAACGCACAGACTATTAATAGATTGGGGAGCTGCTTCCCGAGTGGTAAAATTTCGCGATACAGGTTTCCTCTTTAGGTAGCTGGCGCACAACGGAAGCCTAGAACTTCGGGCAACTCCCGGGTTGAGGGTGTGGAGTTTCAGTCTCGGTGTCGTTTGGCTCTGGGCAGCGTTTGGGGCGGTTCAGATTAGGCCCGATTAGGCCCAAGACGCTGATGGGTGCATGCTCTTTTGCCCAGGGGCAGGACCAGGACATTGAAGTTACGAGCATGTGTAGGACACTGCCGACTGCGAGAGCCACCAAGGAGCCTCACAACGTGAACCCCCGATGCCCAAAGCTCTCACAACTGCCAGAACCCAATAGCCCTACAAACCTCAGATCACCTGAACTCTGGACTCCAGAACCTTGTAACTGCTTGCTTCAAGCACACATCGCAGAGGCTTCATGTTCTGCTAGCTGCCGAGGCACACCCGGCGCTGAAAGTCGTGGTCCTCCGTGGGCAATTCATATGAGGAGACGGAACGCAGCTGTGCATGTTGCAGGAGATCGGATGATGTCCTTAATCCACATGTCATGGAGGCCTACATAGTAGGAGCAGGTCGTGCGAGTGGGTGGGTGGTTATGTATGCACACATAGGCTCCCAACCGCAAAATAGAGCATACAAGAAAAGGCTGATGCAATTCAGGGTCTAGGAATCTAAATGACCATATGAGTGTACGTATATATACATAATTGGGAACGTTGTACTAACAATTATGCAGGCCCCTGGACTACCCCTCCACAACTCTTGTCTACCTCTGTTCGCAGTGTGGCAGTCTTTAGGCCCAGGACCAGGAACTGATAAGATCTGACTTCTTAGGTAAAACCTTAACCAGGCACTGCATTGTAATACCTTCTTTTTGGATGACTGTCTTGACGATGAAGATGCTACTGCTACTATCAGTAATCAAGTGGGCCAAAACGGATTCTACCGTCTAGGGTCTAGGTATGGAGCATGGTAGAGCCTAGTAGCAAAAATCAATGCCTGAGGTCCACAAGTATACGACTGCCTGCACTTCATCGCATCCGGGCCGCTACTGAGGACTTCGTAGCAACAAGGTTGCGCACTGAAAGGCAACCAGCTTAGCAATAGATGAGAACCGCCATAGCGATGATTGCGTTCCCGCACGGGGCCAAGTATATCAGTATATCCACTGTGCTTAAAGGGCCCTAAGTGAGGATGATGCAAAGCCAGCATTCTGGATTTATAATTAACGTGGAGATGGAATCAATAGCAGCAGCACCCTTGAAAGACATTGCTGATAGACAGATACTGCAACGCCTTCATGCTGGGCTGCCAACACTGCTCCCTAAATCGTGTTGCCAGCGGCCAAACTGCACCCGAAGCCCGATGCTCTTCCAGCGAAAACATCCTTGGATGCAAAGAAACCCAAAGCCCGAGCAAAGCTCCTCTTGCTTCACCTCATGCTTGATCTCAGCCTTGACCTTGCAAGTAAGATGTTGTATTCGTTGGGAGGGTCGGGGACTTAGTAACTGGCTATTTTAGGGACTTATAAGTACCATCACCCCGATTTGGGTCCCTTTTAGGGTACTTATAAGTCTACTTACTACCTACTTACTCAGTCCCCCGACCCTCCAAATAACGACGGGCGACGCGGCTCTACAACAGCAGACACCGGACCTGATGTCACAAAGACTGATAGGCGGCTCCGGTATGCCATGATGTTTCATCATTAAGTCGGGTTCGAAACAGCACGCAGTAGACAACCCTAAGCCCTCAACATCAGGCTGAAGCGTGCTCTGCTGTGTCCTCTAGCCAGGCCACAGGCGGATGCTGCACGGTCAAGCCGGTGCTTGATGCGTTGCAGCGAAACTTAACAAATTGTATAATCAGCCTCTGTTCGAGAACAATATGATATTCCTATGTCGCACTTCTACCGGACCGCAGAACACGATCGGTTCGAGGTTCGCAGCCTCCATTCAGAAACGAAAGCCATCGAGCACTGGAAAAACCCTGAATCCCGAAAGACATTCGATCTCTGTGTAGACACAAGGCCGTAGTCCGTTTCAAAGTGGAAAAAGTTGTTATGACGACGGGAAGATACAGCAATGAACCGTCGAAGAACAGTGATTAGTGATGCGTACGGCTGAAGCGCGGGGAATCGGATTTGGGAAATTTGACGGACTGGCTTGTTTCTAAACCGACTTGAATCTGTTCCACAGATCACAAGAACCTTGCATGTTTGGCAGAGTCTAGATGCCTGGATCTCGCGTGGTAGTGCTCAAATCCCGTATGTGTCCAAACAAGTGTAGCACATCAACGCAGCCTTCTTTGGGAGCTCCTCTTTGACTTCTTGCGGCATGTTCTTGGATGCCTCCTCTTTGATCTCTGGCTTCATGTCCATGTGCACATCCTGCGAGACCTCCTGTTTCACCTCCTTCTTCGTGTCCTGCATGGGCTTCGCTTGCGAATGCTGGCCCAAGCTTTATGATTCTGTTGAATTGTAGCAAGGGCGAATCTCAACCCCAAAAGCTAAATGTCTGCTGGGCAAGCAAGGATGCGACCTCAGGGCCGCTACGATTGCTTGGTTTAGAGTTTAGTTTAGAGTTGAAGGCACTCATCGCCTCCCTACCAAGCTCAGGGATGTCTCCGCTGCGCTACTTCCCGGAACAAAAAGTAAACTGCAACCGTCGAGAGTCGACGCCATACACTGCACACCGTCCCGGTTTGAAGCTGTGGATTTGAGCCCCGTGCCGGGGCACCCGAAAGTGCGATCGGCTGCGAAGTAGATACCCAGAGGCTCCCTGCATCATATACTTAAACCCTAAACCCCTGAACCCTAGGCCCCTAAGCTTTAAAGTACCTATATAGGACCCTTTTAATTAAGGCTATTCCGCAACCTTCAGCTCGAGGCCTAGCATGACGGTTCCGAGCCAAGCCCTGCGCCAGTAAACCCTGTTGGGGTTCTAGGTTCAAAGTTCAAAGACCTTACCTAAAACTACGGTAACCTAGTTTTCCGCAGGTTCTTATTGCAATACCCTAATGGAATTTCTGGGGACACTGCAAACAAGTAGTTTCTGGTAGGTGAGTGAAGGTAGGGGTAAGGCTTCAGGCATGGCCACTCCCGCCAACTCGGCAATCCCTGAAATCCAGGTTGCCCAGACACTCCAAAACCCCTTAATTAAGGAATATACCTTAAAATATAATAGGATCCCTATAATATGATTTAAGGTATATATTCCTTAATTAAGGGGTTTTGTCTCTCGGTGCATGTGCGCCACATTGTCGAGACTGAAATCCCTAAGGCTCCCCTTATAGGAACCCTAGAACCCCTATAGGGGCCCTTAAAGGTACATGGAGCCTTTTGCAATGTTTCGGGCTCTCGTATGTTAGGGCTTAAGAGAAGAGGTCACGAGGACCGTTGGACACAGGTGCACCGCACCCCCTCATCCCCAAGGCTCCATGTGCCCCTCATATAGTCTATACTTTAAGCCTTCAAAGGGGTTCCTATATAGGGGTTCCTATACAGATACTTTCAGGTATAAGGTATAAGTATAATTATTCTGTATGGGTACACCAAGCCTCCGAGTATCTACTTCCACCAGCCCGCAACCGCTGCCTTCCGTGTGATCTCATCTTTGACTTTCTCCTTCATGACCTTGGACGCCTCCGCTTTTACTTCGTTTTTCATGTCCTCCAGGCACGATTGCTGCTCAAAGTTACCAGATGGGCGCACTTCCAAACTTCCTAAACCCTAAATCCTAAACCCTAAACCCAAATAATTCGTCAGATCTTGACTCTCAAACCCTATAACCCTGAACCCTAGCTAAACTCAAGAAGCCCTAAACGGTCCTGCACTTTTTTGTAGGGCCCCTACAATTGCGGTATTAGGGTTTATCATAAATCTATGACTTACACACGAGTAGTTATGGTAGTTCAACGGTTGCTTGGGCTTCGAAGCCCAGTGTCGACAACACCTGACTAAACTCTGAACTCTCAAACTGATACAAGGGCCTTGATAAATTCAACAGTAGGGGTTTTAGGGGGTCTCTAGGACCCTTCGGGCTCTTCAGACTTAGAATAGGTCTCTTGGGACATGATAAACTACAACTACGACAAGGACCCTGGAACTTAGGCATAACTGGATGTGTCTTCGCCACGACCACGAGCCACGACTTCTCAAAAGGCAAACTGCCCTACACTCAATGCACAGTTACACGATAGCAGACAATAGTACAAGGCACAGCGAAACATTCAGGCACTTAGGACTTTTCCTCACAACTTGGGCATGTGGGAGTTTCCGAAAACAAGGGACCCTAGTATGGTACCCAAAATAGTAGGATCCTTATGATAAGGACCCCAATTAAGCTACCCCTAATTTTCGGAAACCCCCATGTGAAAAGGGCCCTATCTGCCCTAAACCCTAAATCCTAAATCCTAAACCCTAAATCCTAAACCCTAAACCAGCCATGGCTTTAGGGTCCGGTGCCCCAAAACTGAACCCTTGGACAGCGCAGCAGATCTTCGGCATTAGGAACCCCTTAACAGTTAACTCTAGTTAGGGTTTTAGGATTAGGGTTTAGGGTTTATAGGGTTTAGGGTTTAAGAAACCCTAACCTACAACCCTAAAGTGATGCGTCTCATCTGCCTGCAGCTCGTCTTTTGTTCCTTCCTTCGGCGGTGCCTCACGCGACAGCAGGGACGCTTGGAATTCGAGCTGTGGAAGAGCGGCTTAGGATTTGGGACTTTGGTATGTTTAGGGTTGTGGAGTTGCAGGGATATAATCAGTTTCAAATTCTAACTCTGTTAGGATTTGGGTGGTTAAGGGCTTCATGGTTGCAGAAAAGACTCATCTGTCAAGGGCTTGAGTACATCGGGTCAGAAAGTCGCAGGTGCACACGCTCAGGCTGACACGTGGCATGGGGATCCTCTGATTTTCGGGCTCTTCTTGGAGGCATTCTAGGCACTGGATAGCTCTTTTTCCTGAAGAGTGCGCTCGACTGTGGTAGTAACTTGAAAAGGTCAAGGACTGCAAATCTCAATAGCTCAGCATATCCCTTCCTCCCTTCTCCCACGCCCCACGTGCACACACACACACACACACCAAACAAAAGCACATATTGCGCTTCTGACAAGGATGTGAGGCCAGCGGAAAAAGGCGCACACACACACACACACACACACAGCAACGCCACAGCTGAGCTGAAGCCCCTGCACCTGGATGTCCGTCGCAACTTCTTGCTTCACGTTGTGAAGCTCCACTGGCTCCTCCAAAGGAGTACACGCGGTTCACACGGCTGCTTGTCAGTTCAAATCCTTGAACTCTAAACCCCTGAACCCTAAACCTTAAACCCCTCAACCCAAAACCCTAAAGCCCTAAACCGCTAAACCCTAAAACTCTGAACCCTAAACCCTAAACCAGTGGTAGTAGACTCCAAAGCCCCCAGAGCTTGGACCCAAAATGAAATCCGAAGCTTGAGGTTCCTTTGCCTGACCGAAAACCCCCAAACTTGGGGCTTAGCGTTTAGGGGGTTTAGGGTTTTTTGGGGGGTTTTGGGGGATGTGGGTCTAGGGGATGTGGGTTTAGGGGATGTGGGTCTAGGGCTTTTGGGGGTTTAGGGGGATGTGGGTGTAGGGGTTAGGGCTTAGGGAAGCTCTTCACTCCTGGCTGCCAGCACCAGGTCCTTTTTCTTCTTCCTGCCCCCGGGAAGCTTTCGGGTTCGACTTCCACGTAGGGCGTTGGGTCAAAATCCGGCCGTAACCCGGAATCCTTGAAGCCCCACAAAGTCTAAACGGTTTATGAGATTCGAGCTTTACAGCCGGAACCCTGGTAAACCTGAGGCCCTCAAGAAGCAGAAAGTATGAAAGTCAGACAATCCTGACTACAGACACAGAGCATCATGGCTCAGACCTTCCCACATGCTCCTCTACGGCGTGGGTTTCGGTTGTATCGGGATTCGATCCCTCAACCCTAAATCCTATAGGCCTTAGCCCTCAAAGCCTTAACCCAAAAACCCTGCTGGACCCAAAACCCGAAACCTTTTTTTTGAAAACTTCTTTCCAACTGGACGAAGTAGCCGAAATTCCCTACCACGAGGTCCCTAAACCCTTTAGGGTTTAGGGTTCGTGCAGCAACAACCCTAAGGGTCCAGATACCGAATAACCATGTCACTCTCCTCAATATTAGCCTACATAACTACTATCCTAAACCCACGTACCTAATGATTGGGTCCTTTGGACCCTTCGGGCAACCTATAAAGCCTGAGCTCCCCACATCAAACCCTGAGCCCTAAACCTCGAAACGCACTCTCTGAAGAAAGCGGATCCCGCACCAAAGACCCAAAGGTTCTCCAAGACCCAAAGGTACCTAAAGACCCAGAGGTTCCTAAAGACCCAACAGTTCCCAAAGATCACAGAATCTTACAGACCCAGAGGTTCCTAAAGACCCCAAGGTTCCTAAAGACCCAAAAGTTCCTAAACACCCAGAGGTTCTCAAAGACCCAAAAGGCTTTAAAAACCCAGAAATTCCTCAAGATCCAAAGGCTCCTAAAGACCCAAAAGTTCTGAAAGACCCAAAAGGGTTCCTAAAGACCCAAAGCTTCCTACAGACCCAAAGGTTCCTACGACCTACAGGAGGGGGAGATAGTTACCCAAACCAGGATGTAATTCTTACTAAGGAACCCTGCTTTCTACTATGTAGGTGCTTAGGACCCTCTGGGACAGTGCACATCTCTGGTCCTTAGTATAAGTTCCAAAAAGCCGACCCTTATCCCCAAACTTAAGAACAACCTCAAGGACCATAAGGGTCCATATCTGCAATAACTAGTGTAATTGTAATAATACTATCCTCAACCCCCGAATACCTCGTTAGTGTAGTTAGTTTACGACCTCTCAACCTGAAGCCCTAAAGCCTCAATTCTGAGAAGTTGGGCGGAGAGAGCCTTCCGCAGCTGTGGTGGGCGAGGCTTGCGCTGCTTGGCAAGCTTCAGCGATAGAACGATCACCTCAACGCCCAGAACCAAGAAGGACAGAAGGAGCTTCGTGGACTACCGGTGTTAGAAAACAACTACTAGGATACCCAGTAACCTAAGAATTAAAAGGCCTCGCTTTTTGGTATTGGGTAACTTTATAAGGAACCTAGGACTACAAAAAGGGAATAAGGGTACTACTGGGCATCCTAGGTGTTGGGTTGAAGACACAAGTGCCCGAGCTTTAGAGAAGGGTTTCAATTTCTCGAACCTTAGTCTGCGATCACCCTGCTCTGAAGACAACATGCAGACACTGTAGGAAAACAAGCCCCCCAGCTATCTTACGGATGTAAAGCATTATCAAATTGATGCGTTTGTATTCGTTTGTATAGATATGCAGATCCCTACGTGCACGTACATATACATGTGCATACACAAAACATGCGCACACACAAAAATACATGTTTACTTGTGCATTGCGCATACAACTCTACATATCATGCTGAAAGTGTTCGAATGGACCCAGTATGATAACTAGGTTTAGGGTTAAGGGGTTAGGGGTTTAGGGTTTAGGGGTTTAGGGTTTAGGCTGCTATGCCAAGAAAGAATGAAGACGCCGAACTCGGAATCCTGAATCCCTGCTACAGTTGACAAACTATCATTGCTTGGAGGACCATGGGACTTAGTAAGTATGGTTATAAGTACCCTAATTGGGGTTCTATGCAATTATAAGTACGGTTACCTTGTAAAATTATAACCCTAGCTACTTAGTCCCATGATCCTCTAAGTAGACCCTAAACCCTAAACCCTATAGATCCCATTAAGGAACCCTCTAGATCCCTTTTAAGGAGGCCTTTAAGGAACCCTAGCTACTAAGTCCCATGATCCTCTAAGTGTGTCAACACCCTTGGGGCCGCTGTAAAGAGGACGGCCATCATAGCAATCCCATTGCTGCTAGGAGTCGATTTGGGAGTTTCCGAAAATAGGGGACCCTAATCCTAATATAGTACCCTAAATAGTAGGATCCTTATTATGAGCACTCCCATATAAGGGTCCCCTATTTTCCGAAACTCCCATTTCAACAGTTCCCAAAATTATGTATAAATGAGGCTCTATATAGTACAGAATAGACCTCCAAGAGAATTTAGAGTAGAAGCCAAAGTCTAGACCCCGTAGGGCCCATGTCCTGAGGCTCCAGGTTTAGAATGCGAGCGACAGAACGGACCAAAAAGCTGGGTATCATCGCGTATCCCAACAATACTCCCTGGTGCTTTGTAGGAAGTGGGGCAATGGATATTGGGCACTCTTATTGGGGATTATATTGTAGGGGCTACTATAGGGATCCATTCCCCCATTCTCTACTAAGAACCAGACAGGATAAGTTCAGGGATGAGATTCTAATTCCAGAAGCCCAATTAGCTAGAGAACCTTGCGGCTCCAACGACTACATGTACTAAGGGGTCAATGATGCAGCACCTTAAGGTCCTTAAACCCCTAACCTCAACCGTAGCCTAAGAGTATCTTAATAAAACTAAAGTCTTAAGACACTTGAGCATGAAGCATGAACCCTCTACTTGCAACACCTTGAGGCCGAAGACTCCACACAGCCCAACATAGGTAGTATTTACACGTTCTAGACCGTAAAGTAGATACCATTTGTTTGTGCGCTTGCAGTCTTCGGGCAAGGAAAAGGTTTTGGGGCGCCTTACGCAACAGGCTTTGCCTGTTTCGGTGAAGGCATGCTAACTCCAATCAATGAGGAGTGAGGCTTGCTCATACCAAAACTTCTAGGGGCGTAGCCCCCAAAACTAGGGCTAAATCCTCAAAGCCGAAAAGTGTAAGCGGGCAGGTCGCATCTGCGGAAGCCATGGCAGCATCTCTTGCAACAGTGGAATCTTGAGCCGCTCTGTACAACTGCCGGGATGCATCATTCAGGGTCTGTGTGCAAAAGATGCAAGGTCATTCGGGCTCAAGGGCACCATGTGGGACATTATTCTGAACCTTACAAAACCATTCCAAAGCTACTACAAATCCATATGGGTAGTTGTCAAAATTACCCTTTTGGGGCACCCTAAATATGAGGTGCCGTATTATAATAGGGACCGAAAAGGGACCATAATTTCGACAACCACCCATATGAAACCCTACACGGCCCCTGCAGAGCCCGTCATCGAATCCTAAACGGGGCAAGAACCCCTTGGAATCCGCGCAAATCCTGAAACCCTGAACCCTATAACCCTATAACCCTAGAAACCTACGACTTAACCCTATAAACCCCAAAACGTGAACTCTAAACTCTGCCTTAACTCGGAATAACCTAACGTTTTGAGGACTTGTAGAAAGAAATAGTAAATAAGACGGAGCCCTAAAGAGGTAGGATCTTCAGGGTTAAGGTAAATTCCAAACCCTAAACCCTAAACTCCAAACCCTAAACCCTAAGCCCTAAGCCCTAAACCCTCAGCCCTATAAGCCCTTAAGGTGGGGACCAAAGAACCCCCAGATCCGAACCCGAAGCCATAAACAGGCAGCACTCAGTCAGTCCTGGAGTACCATGTGTGCAAAAGAATGGGGCAGTGTTCCTCGGAAGTGCATGATCTTTGTTGGCTTGAACCCTATAAGCCTAAGGCGTGAACCCAATTACAATCTAGCATAATCTAGTGAACTGCAGGGTGTAGTTGTAAGCCCTGGTAACCCTGGTATAGATTTGTAGGGGCCTTACAAAAAAATAGGTTTGGGGGTATTGCCAGGTAAACCCTATGGCTTGCCGCTTGTTTGTGTGGCAAGTTAGCATCATGCTCCTACAAACTGAAACCTTGTACGAAACCCTAACCCCAAAACCCAAAACCCTAGTCCTTAAACCCTAACCCCGAAACCCCAAACCCTCCAGAGATCTAAAGACCGAGGAACTGACACCATGAAACTCTAAACCAACCAAACCCTCCTACATCCTAAACCCGAGACCCGAAATACCCTAGACTCGCCAATCCTATATGGTGAACTCCAGAAAGTTGGAACATGGATTGAGGATGATTAGTGCCAGGATTACCTCTACTTTACCTGAAGGGCATGAGGACAATGATGTTCCAACTATATGGCTTCTACTATAGTTACAATCCCGCAGACTTCCACACAAGCTCCTCGAACTCTGCACAAATACATGGAGCCCAAAGTGATATTGACCGGTTGAGTACTTGGGGCCCGAAGTGAAATTCATCGCACTTGTTCCATTAGGGCTTACCTGGGGGATTCCAGTATTTGGGGCCCGAACTCATATTGATCTTTTTCCTTGTTTAAGCGCACGTCTCGTTGTCGTGCATCTGCACTGCCCTGTCTCGATGGTGCTTCAAGCTCGGCTGTCGTCGGTAGCGCTAGCATGATATACATATTCCGGTGTCCGAGACACCCGACCAGCTGCCAGTAAGAAGGATGCTGAACCGACATCTTCAACACCAAGCGGCCATAGCGGTAGTATTAACCTTGCTGTAACAACGAGAACGCCTTAGACCCCGAAACCGTTCAAATGAAAAACCCTAAACCCTAAGCCCTAAACCCTCAGTCCGAAGCCCAAGCCTCAAATCCTGCCCTGTAAAATCCGTACATATTCTCAAGGCCACATGCGGCAACCGATTTCCCAGCCGTGCCTGTGCGTCTTGAAGGACTCGTTGCCCTTGCCTCCCTTACCACCCTTGGCAACCTTGGACGCTGGAAGGGGTGAGTTAAACGCTAAGCCCCTGAACCCCTAAACCTTGCATCCCTGAAACCTCAACTCATAAACCCCTAAACCCCTAAACCCCTAAAACCTTAAATTAAAGCCCTACACCCATAGACCCCTAAACGTTTCGGAGATGTTCACCAAACTTGTATGGCCTCTCTGGAAGATCAGCAGCCACTGCCCTGGCACTCTGATCCAGGTCGGTGCTCTTGTAGCTCGTCCATATTGGTGGTTGTCAAAATTAGGGTCCCTTTTTCGCTACCTTAAATATAATAAGTGCCGTATTATAATAAGGACCCAAAAAGGGGCCCTAATTTTGACAACCACCCATGTGTGAGATTTACCACCTCGTGCACGGGTACATAGTCCTGCAGCATGGTAATATCAAGGTGGGTGGCCGAAGGCATAGGATTACTAAGACTTTCCGACTGCTATATTACGCCAAGAGCCCATGACCTCAAATCTCTCGTAAACCCTAGACCCTAAACCGTTGGATCCCACATCATTACATACTCCCCGCCGGTATGCCGAAGGCCCTATCCCGAATCCAGATGTAAGCGCTTCCCATGTCCCAGAGCCGATATGACAAACTCAAGGCCTAATTTTAGGGTTTAGCGTTTGGGGTTTAAGGTTTTGGGGCCTAAACCCTAAACCCTAAACCCTAAGCCCTACTAGGGGTTACTGAACCCTCGAAGTCCAAATCCATCCCAAACCCAAAGCCCAAACCGCTGAAACGTGAATCTCAATAGTCGTATGTGCGGCTGCGGAGAACATCTAGGTGCAGGGTTGCAGTGAGCAATCGTCCAAGACCACTAACCCCAACATAATGGAAGGACTAGTTATAGCTATTTATTAGTTTTAGTCCCTACCCTAAACTCTCCACCCTGACCCCTACCCAAACCCCCAAAGTGGATAACATATTGGGCCAACACCTATAAGAGGCAATTATTCTGCATACATTGGGGTTCCAGGTGCACACTACATTACATATTTGCTTTCACCTCAAACCCTTAACACTAAACCCTATAGTACCCTTATAGATCCCTCATAGGAACCCCTATCGTACTTTAAAGGACCCCTAAGTTCCTTAAACCCCATAGTATCCTCATATATATATATATATATCCCTTGTAGGAACCCTTCTCGTTCCTTTAAAGGACCCCTTGTTTCGAACCCTGCTCCGACGGCCCTCCGCGTGAGGGAGATCCGAGTCCGAGACCCGGAGACGTTGACCATGCTGGGTGAGCTCCTTAGGCTCCCAGGCGCAAGGCTTAGGGTTCCTTTAAGAATACTCTAAGGGCTCCTTCAAGGGTACTTTCAGGGCTCCTTTAAGGGTACGAAAAGGGCTCCTTTAAGGATACTATAAGGGCTCCGGTACTAGAAGGTCTCCTTTGAAGTTCAGAGGTACTATAAGGGTTCCTTTACGGAGCTCCTTAAGCTTCCAGGCGTAAAGGCTTAGGGTGCGGGTTTAATATAGGGGCCATTAGAAGAAGGTTTTGGGGTATAGTATACTTTAGTCATGAGAAGGAACCCCGAAAATAGTACAGGTAAGCATAAAGGCCTCTATAGTCTAGTAGGGTGTGGGAGTCGGCGGCTTGGGGTTTGGGGTCTAGGGTTTTAGGGTTTAGGATGGCTTAGGGTTGAGGGAGGGTTTAGGGTTAAGGCTTAGGGCTTGGAGTTTGTGTAGAGAAAGCATGAAATGCCCACACATCAGCTCTACACTCTTGAAGCCAAACCCACGACCCCTAGACCCTAAACCCCTTTGAACCCAATTTAAGTCCGCAAGCTGCCATCTATGCCACAAATCCCATGTGCTCTGCTTGAATGCTGAATACTACTTATTGGACTCTTACGAACCTATGGAGCCGTGCGGAAACCGTGTAAACCCCAAATCCATGAACATGAAAGCCTATGTACCCTCGACCCGCAAGCCTATGAACCCTAAACCCTACTCCCGACTCCCCCATGAAGGCTGTGTAAGATGTGTTAAGTCCGACACCCCATGCCCCCCGGCCCCTCCAACTTGGAGGTTCATGGGTACTTGTAGAGGGGGTGGCAAGTCCTTCAAAGCCTTAATGTGACTTGTAACTATAGTAACTATAGTTACCCTCCTTTGTCTGTGACACTCTGAATCTGAACCTCCCGGGCAGCGATGCAAGGTACCCTACTTGCAAACCCACTTATTGCTAACCAACTCTATACTCTTAAACCCTAGACCCTAAACCCTTAAATTCTTAAACCCGAAACCCTGAACCTTAAACTCTTAAACCCTAAGCCCACTCATAGCCGTCATAGCCACCCATGAACCTCCAAGAAACAAGAAATCACCCCACGCTTCTGAGATCCGTGCACCGATCAGACGTCTCTCTTTGATGCCCTTCAGGGGTTTGTGGTGTTGAATAACCCGCAGGCTGCATGCACCCAACAGAATACATACAAACATATACATACATACATACATACATATATATATATATATATATATATATACATACACACATGCATATAAAGGGCTCCTCTTTAGATACATTTCTACAGCCTAAGTATATGCGCATACTGCTTGGCATGGAGCCTTAGGGTAAGGACTCTACAAGGTGTTCTACCGTTGATGATATAAATCCTACATTACATTAAGGACCCTAAACTATGGGAAGTATGGTATGTTCCTTACTATGGGTCATGCAGGACTTATATCATCAGCCCTAAACCCTAAATAAGGCGTCGGCGGGTCTTGAGGTTCAGACTTGCTGGCTTTGCGTTCGGAGTTCAGGGTTTGTTTGTGGATTGGGCATGAGCTGAAAGTGGGTGGTTGTCAAAATTATGGCCCTTGTGGGTCCCTATTAGAGTACGGCACCTAATATTTAGGGTACCCAAAAAGGGACCATAATTTTAACAACTACCCAAGTACGGGCCTCACTAATTCGAAGAGCTTTGTGGAATTTTACAGGGGCTTTAACTGCCAATAGTTGTTCCGACCACTTTGATGACCTCGATTGATGGGGTTTGGGTTTTGGGCGATTGCGCCCTGAACCCTGAGCCCTGAACCCAAAACCCTAAACCCTGAACTCTACCTCTACCTTCAGGGATCTAGGGCTACCCGTAATTATAGACCTAGCACCCTTCAAGGGATTTGTAGCACAGGCAGAATAATATGTAT